TACCAGATTGTATTCAGGAAATATTTTGTTAGTGAAACTAACACATTGAATGTTTGCATTTGAATGATTTAAGCTTCTTTAAAATGTTAAGTCATCCATAGATTAACTGAAAAAACATTGAACCATTAGACAATAGGGTTGGCCGATATATATCGGCTATCTCCAGTCCAGTCCATCACCAGTTGTCTTTTGTTTTGGGTTTTTGGTGCAATTTTTGTCATTTTATAAATGGTCTGCCTCCAAAGAATATTTTCACATCGAACTGCGTGTTTATTTCGACTAGTTTGACGGCAGGGAATACAATAACAAGGTAAATCACAGAGGATCCAACCAGGCGCAGCACACATGCATGTGCAAATTTATCGGCAATTACCGGTTGTTGGGCTGGCGGTGGCCGGTTGGAAAAACATATCGCCCGACCCTATTAGACAACCTTCTACTCTATGGCTGTGTTTTGGTGTATTTTACATTTAGCCTGAGAAATTGAAAGGTCAGATTTTATATAATTCTACTGCCACCAGGTCAATGCTTATACGCTGGCTCTTTTAATGTTATGTTTTCTGAAGTATCAAACTCTGTTCTATGTATTTAGAAAACTAAATGATATTCTTAAGATGAAACCACAAAATGTTTAGACTCTAACTAAGACATATCTGACTTAACTTAAGTATCTTAAAAAGCAGTTCCCATTATCCAAACCTAAAAAATGTTTCACATGTCAAAGTAATGTTTGAATTGAAAGTACATATGCTTGGCACTATGATACTGCACAATTACTTGACAGGTCAGTGGACTACTATTCCTTTAGACATGCTCATTAGAAATAAACAGCTGATTTGGGGAGTGCTCAAATATTTGTATAAAATAAATGCAGTATCTTGAGATGTTATTTCCACTTGTACATCTAAGAGGGTAATTTTGGTCTACCTGGTGTCAAACATTCATCCAGTCTTAAGTCAATTAAAGCCATATTAAAACAGCCTTTTTGTAGCATCACTGAGATCTTTACATCTAAGAATGTGTTGACACGTCTGCATGGAGTTGCAATGCAAGTAAATGATGTTGTAATTCTGATGTCCCTCATGGTTTTAAATCACGATGATCAAGTTACACTACCCTTATATTACATTTGTCTGTCTTCATAAGCATTTATTCATTCATTTTCTGTCTGTTATTGTTGCTTTTTCTTCATGTTTCTTAATTTATTTGTCTTTTTTTGATGTGGCTGATGGATGAGTCACACAACATAATGTAAAGCAAGCTATCAAAGTGCAATGGGATTTCTGCCAAAAGCTTCTGCGTGTGTGACTTTGAGCAATACATTTGTATTCAGATGAAAACTGTACAGCAAACTTTTAAACGTTAATAAAAAAGTTGATTTTATACTGACTCAATGTGTTTATGTGTTAATGAAGCACACTTTCTGTGGATAGAAAAGTATGTAGGTATACAGTAATTTGGAAAAAGTACTACCAGATTTTGTACTTACAAAAATCCACCACAAGAGGGTGTAATATATCTGATATGCAATAACCAGGTGGACCAGGCATGGCATGGGTGCTTGTATTTCTTGAATGTCTTTGGAAAAAAAGTTACATATTTCCATATTACTAAAATTTTAAAATTTTATGAAACTCTCAAAATGTAATAAAACAATGAAACAAACCACTTTTGCATATTTATAGTTCACACTCCAAAGTGGTAGAACCCTACTGTGTTTATGTCGATTTATAATTATAAGCCTGCTGCAGTGGCTCAAATGGGCTGGAATGAGCTAGAAACATGAAACCAGAAACAATAACTGGAAATGATGTACAATACTTCCCAAGAACCAAAAATGCAATTTTGAAAAGGCCACAACCCTAACACCACAAGTCTGAATGACTTACTTATTGGAAAAGCACGAGTCCAGCTCAGTGTGCTCTACAGTAAAACCTGTACACCACAGACTGCTGCTATCCACCTAGTATATCATCACGAAGCTTAGACATAGAGTGGATTGATAACACAGATTAAATGGTTAGCAATATGACCCAATTAATGTATGGCAAGTTTTGTTAATTAAAATCAGGAATGTCGTTTATTGTTCTAGACTGAATAATTAAACTTTGAGGCTGATGTTGCTCTAATAGCCTTCATGCAGATGAAGAGGTGTGTCATTCAGTTTCTGTGGTTGCCATAGCCACACCTCATGGGGCTTTCATACTGATGCGCGCCACTTCCATTCATTTCAATGAGGGGAGGGCAGCAGAGGGTAAATGATTGCGACCATGGCAGTAGGGGTATAAAATGGTTTCTATGGAAGCCCATTTCCGCCAGTATAATAAGGAGAAAAAAAGGATTCTGTAAGTCATTCAGACAGATCAGAAACTTTCTCAAAATACTGACTTAGTATATAAAAAAAAATAACGAGGTAACTGATGATGATGTTAACTTACACCCACAATCTAGCCAATAGCTAGAATGGCTCTGGATATATCTTGTGCTCCTTTTGACAGAATAATTGCGTTCACTTTAGCACACAGCTGCAAGTTTTGGTTTAATTAAAGCCATTGAAAACCACAGCTAAGCTAGTCAGAAGCTAGCTGAGTAACACAAATCATGAAAAGATTATTGCACAAGAATTTCACCAGAAGAAGAAAATCTAAAGCATAGAAATGGTCAATGTGTAAATGTATTTCTTTGACTGTTTTAAAGGATAAGGCTGGTAATATCAATATATATAATATATATTTTGCACATTGTAAACACATCCCATAAAAAGACCAAAAGTAACAATACATGTATCCCACTAACTACTATTGTGTGTGTATCCAAAGCCTGATCTTATTCCTCTGTGCCACAGAAGCTCCACACACCGTTGCACTGACATGTTCCTTCATCACCATGAATGCACACACTGTAGTTTATTTACACTCAATCACACATATACTGCCCTGATGCCCAAATACTCACTAGAAGACCAAATGTGAATTCAACCTGAAAGGTGAGTCCCCAACAAATACACTATTTCCTCCTATTTGTTCAACATTTAATAACACACCTTAAAACCTATAGATAGGACATTTTTTAATGAAACACTTCAATTTTGATTACGATTCTGGTTCCTAGTGACTGAATGAGCGTGGTCCACAGACAGGATAGGGAAGTAAGACAGTGTTGAGAGATGGATGAAGACACTGCTGGTTTTGGTCTTTTCATGAGATGTGTTGACATTAAGAACAATATAAAGTTGCACCATCCTTAGCCATTAATTCTTTATTTTTGTGTACTTCATAAAGAACTTTTAAGTGCGTTCTAAGTAAATCCAGGCTTTTCAATTCACATAGAATATTCAAGCAAACAACTGGCAGGTAGCTCCGCTCTCTGTAGTTAGTCTCCATCAGTATACAGCTTTGATTATGGCGTCAACCTACACTGAGGTGAGGGCCTGTTTTTATTTTTCCATTTCTCATGCACCGACCTGTTATCACCACTAAGGGTCAGCAGTTAGTAACTCTGATATAATCCCTATTCCACTTCACATCTATCATCAAACATTTTCTCAATCTCAGTCAGTTTGATTTCACCTTTATTTCAGACATTAAGGAGTCTAAAACGTGAATCCATTAGTGACATGCTCTAATTGTTATTGCAAAGAGATAATAATAATTTTACATTTTTGAATTTTAAAAAGAAGTTCATAAACTGTAGTTTATGCACCTATAATATATAATAAAACATAGCTAAAGATAAGTAACAATATACAATCTATGTGCATCTAGGCTTGCTGTTTGCACAAGCACAGCACACAGTTGCACATGCCATGCTGCACTTAATTACTAGTTCAACCTGTTCAAACACATCAAAGGGGTTTGAGGAAGACAACAAAGTTCAATGGTCAGAGTAGACAATTTTCTCTGTTTCAAACGTACGCCAGATCACACACACACACACACACACACACACACACACACACACACACACACACACACACACACAGTAGGCTACATAAGATAGTGACTGGCTGCTCCAGGCTGTATGAACTGGAGAGAACCTCCTATCACTGGTGTGAACCTAAACTCAGCGCCTTATTGGCTGCTGGCTTGGAGGTGGGGATTCACGAGGTCAACTTGGCAGGCAGATAAACTGCATAAGGCTCAGGCCTACAGAGCATAAGGTTTCATAATGTTGAATTACTGGGCAGCAGTGTTTGAGCTTTAAAAAGGTCTTCTCTTCTCACTCCTCTTTCCCACACTGCAAAATCGCCATGACTATATATTCAATGCATCACACACATACAATCTCTTCATACATGTTGTGCTGTGTTGATCTGATTTGTTACTTCTGCTTCGTTTGGGCTCTGGACCTCGAGGACTTGCAACAACAGCTGCTACCATGACACCCCCCTCCAACACACACACACACACACACACACACACACACACACACACACACTCATCAGACAGTTTATATAATTTAATCTGCACACAGCAAACAACAAATCAACTGCTGTGTTTCTCCTTTGACAATGTCTTGACAAAGGACTTACACGCTCATCTCATGTAATGTTAATTTTACCCAAATGTAAAATCAGAAAAAGAGACAGGAAACCACATATTTTATTTATATTTGTACATAAAACCCTGTGCATATACTTAACCAGCAACATTTGGTCAGTACATCAAAGCAAACAAATAAATGTTTTTAAAAAAATGCTCAATTACGTTATTTAAGCACAATCCTGCAACCTGCTGAGTCCTCACACCTGGATTTGGTCTTGTGAACTGCCTGAAGGACCATACTGATCCATGTTTGAGCTCCATAGGTCATGTATATTTTACCTTTAATGCATGCTATGGTTATGAAATTCTATACATTTCTGTAGCTTAAACTCTCTTCTGCCCAACATCAGTTATTTATTTGCAGTGTCCTTATCTGACTGACCTAATGTGTTGGCCCCAACTCAAATGGTATTTCTGAGAGTAGAGACTGTATGGAGGAGGGGAGGAGTCCCGACAGGAACTACAACTACAGTCAGCGCTCAGGCTTATACAGTACCTGACAGCTAACTGCAGCTCCCGGGCCACACTATTAAACCTCTGTCTCTGGCATTCACAAACTATTCGGACTTTTTCCCACGACTCCACTTCTTCAACTTTTTAGCTCTTGCACCGAGTGTCTTATCCGGGGACAGTCTGTACCGGCCAGAACCGAGTGTAAGTCCGCATGTGTGCAAACCACACTGCTCTCATGCAACACAGTTCAGTGCACGATGGTACTCGCAAGTTTGGTAACGTTGTTTTTATGCAATGCTTGTCGGTGTGAGGGGATCACATGCAGCGTGTATGCCACGTTTACCGCTTGCAGCTGCTCAGGCTGTTTTCTGTTTTGTTATTTTGGGACGTGGCGTTGACGTTAGTGCATGCAGTCTGTTCAGTGGGCATGTTAAATGCACGTTGATGTGCCTATTATTATTATTATTATTATTATTATTATTATTATTATTATTATTCATTCTCATGTGCAGTAAAGCGAAACTGAGTGTTGTGACCATGCCTATTAAAAACTGTAACAGTGCACAAGAAGCGCAGGATCAAGCGGTTTCTTCTGTTACTGCAGCATTGCTATTAAACTTCATCAGCCAGTTTCTCCACGCTTTTTCAAATCTTTCTGCTGCCTATGCAAATGTCACCCTGCTCTTCTTCATTCTCAGTCCAAATATGTACAGACAAGTTTGTATGCACAGCTAGTGCCAGCCTACTGTTTTTCTCTTAAGGCTACAGTTCACATTAGTAATTAGTGTAATGTAAGGCTTACTACTGGAACTGATGGTCCCTGTTCACTGGACCAGATCTTGGCCTGCTTTGAACCCTCTGCTAACATAAGCCATGTGGCTGAGAAAGCATAAAACCCACAAGTGATTTTTACCTCCAGAAACAATACTGTTATTCATTCACCATGTTAAAGTTGCAGCTTAATCAGTTTTAGTGATAATTCGACACTGTGAACCTTGATCTCCATAGAGGAATTTAGTTTTACATTTTTTTTGTGTGCAACTTTTGGTGGTAGAAATCTAGGACACTAATCAAAGCAGTTGACTGGAAATTATAACATGATCTCAAACCACCTGACTTTTCACGGGTGCACAATTGCACAATTCAATTTAGTGTGACGGTACACAATCTTTGGATTTGACTGTTTAATTACTACAAATAAGTGTAACATTATCATCTTCTTCAACCAGACCTAGCAGATGCAGAGTATTTTGGATACTTGTACGTGTATACATGTATTCTGGAAAACTAGTTGCATTGTACAAGAGTTTACATTGAGACCTTGAGTATTCTGCACAATACAACCCACATGCCTTTGTGTCATCTGACTGTCCACAGGGGCCATGGCCTTCCTAGGGAGCGCAGTTCGACGGGTGGTGTCAGCAGTGCGACCTCCTCTCTCTCCCTTGTGCCGGACAACCACTCGATCCTACAGCTCAGAGCCCACCAAGGAAAAAAGTGTTCCCTACGAGAAAACACTCAAACAGGCGGATGGAGTCTCTTCTGGACCCACTAAACCTTTACCCAGGTTAGCTTAGTGGATGCCTGCAGGTGTTGACGGTATTTTGTGCTGCAAAAGTGACCATTGACTTGCAGTAGTTTTTGCGACTTAAGACCTGTTTCTGTTCTGTTCTGACATCATGATAAGATGAAGAATACACACATAGCGGGGTAGGTTGACGCCCTGGTAGCTCACTTGGTGGAGCTGGGTCCTTACTGCAGCTGGGTCCTTACTGCAGCGGTCATGGGTTCAGCTCCGACCTGTGGCCCTTTGCTGCATCTCTACAAAACTTGAACAGATTGTAGATGCTCTGTGAATCACTCAGGTCTGAAAAAGGTCTGAAAACATCATCTGATTGTCAGTTTAATAAAATAAACATTGTTATCATTAATCTACTCAGTAATCAAAAACCAACACTTTTGAATTTTATGTGATAACATTTTGGGAAATAAGTTTATTTATTTTCTTGTCGAGAATTTGATGAGAAGATTGATACCACTCTCATATACGTGTGTTAAATATGAATCTACAGCCATTAGCCAGTTACCCTAGCTCAGTATAAAGGCTGGAAGAGAGGGGAAACTGCTAGGCTGACCCCTCCATAAAACCAGAAAGTGTTGTTTTTAAACCTAATCTATTTATGGATTGTTAATTAGTGAGCTTTATAGATGCTTGTAGAAGGATTTTGTTACCTCTGGTCAGAGCCAGGATAGCGGCTTCCCCATGTTTTCATTATTTTTTCTTTATCCTAAGCTAAGCAAATTGGACATATTAGTTATGAAAGCGGTGTCAATCTTTTTGTTAAATTCTCAGCAAGAAAAATATGCCCAATTAGACATCGACCTTATCCCACTTTGAAAGTCATTTCTCAGCTCACCTTTAGTAATCTGCCACCTACTTCAGGTCAGCTGATGTCGTGGTGATCGGAGGAGGCAGTCTGGGCTGTCAGACTATCTACCACCTGGCTAAAATGGGGTTGACTAACGTAGTTCTGCTGGAGAGAGACAGACTGACTGCTGGCACCACCTGGCACACTGCAGGTAACAAACAGGTGTAATGAGTGTGTATGTACCTGAGAGGGAGATGATGCATGCTGAAATGTTGTTCTCCTGTTTTTAAATTATGTTTAGTTCAACTAACATGGTCTTCATGTCTTGAGAAGGTTTCTGTAGATAAAGTGCTCAGTTTGTGTTTGCACACGCACTGCACATGCACTCCTGTCAAAAAGTGTCTGTACATCTGTCGACGTATGGATCTGTTCACTAGGCTTGCTGTGGCAGCTCCGTCCCAGTGATGTTGAGGTGGAGCTCTTGGCCCACACCAGGAACGTGATCAGCAAAGACCTGGAGGAGGAGACGGGTCTCCACACAGGCTGGATCCAAAATGGAGGACTCTTCATTGCCTCCAACAAGCAGAGGCTGGACGAGTACAAGCGCCTCATGTCGGTAAGAACCGAGATAGCTCTTTTATCATTTAATGTATTTGATCATTTTAAACATAATTAATTAAAGACTAATTCCTCTTACAGTATTAACTAATGTCAGAAATCAGACTTTCTTGATTTGTTTGTTTGAAATCAAACAAATAATCAGACCCTTAATGCGTGGTGCAGAAGATATTGAACTGACTAAAATTTGCTAACACTAGACAACATGCTAACACCTGAGCATAATTGTAGCTGCCTGCTGATTGTTTTTCACTATACAGCTGATTGCATTGAGATGAGGCTGTTTAAATATAAAATGAAAGGTCCGGTATTTAACATTTATGAGGATCTATTGGCTATAATATTTATAGGTTTGTTTAAATTAGTGTATAATCACCTGAAAATAAAAATCATTGTGTTTTTGTTCCCTTAAAATGAGATGTTTTTAATCTACGGAGGGAACTCTGCTATGAAGTTTGCCATATTGTGTCAGCAACTATACCACTAGATCCAACTAAATCCTACACACTGGACCCTTAACTGGGATAAGATACGGCATACTCCATTAGAGCTTTAAATGGTTTCCATAACAACGGGTGTCATTGTGTCCTGTACAAAGTAAGTGGCTGCAAACGCTTACAGGGTTTTCTTAAGAACACAAATACTTCAGACAATGGAAGTATCACTGTGGTGGGTTGAAAGATCATACCACATAGAGGTTTATCCTTGTATTCAAAATAATACATAGAAAAATCTATTTGCTCTCTTGCCTGTTTTCTAAGCATGATCGCTGTAAGTCATAGTGAGACATAGTTCTAAAATAAGTTTGTGGATAGGAGATAAATCTGGCCTGTGTGCATGTAAAATACTGATGGTTTCTGTCAGTTAGGGGGCTGCCAACAAATAATAGCTCATGAATAATTCTATTATTGATGAAAATTACCCCTGGCACGATTACCAAAGACCAGGTAGAAAGCTAATCTGTGCATACCGCCAGTGAAACAGATTTTCAGCTACTGGAACTACTCCTCAGGGCTTTAAAAGGCAGAGATGATATTTGGGTTTGTATTTGGGTGTTGTTCGCTCAACATGGTGTTAAGGTTGGGGCACATGACCGGGAAAAGGCTTTGTTTACCTTGATTATTTGTGTTGGAGGTCCAAAGTTCACTTGGAACTTCACCTAACCAATGCGTAGTGTGAAACAGATCGAGCCCCTGAAAAAGAAACTAACGTGTTCAACAATCCTCAGTTGAAACCTAATTAATGATATGCTAGTAGTGGCTGTAAGTCAACTCCTCCTGAGGCTGCTTCACAATAAGAGAGATAATCAGATGTTGAAAGCTTCTACTGTGAAGTACATACAAGTGTTGTGCAAGGATTTCTTATTTGATGTAGAATACAGGTGATGCAACTTAACATCTTTAAATGAAAGAAATCCCTCTCAAGCAACACCATAACCAATAAAACATGCTATCTCCCCTTATTTGTAGCTGGGTAAAGTTTATGGTATCGAGTCCCATGTCCTGTCACCTGCTGAGACCAAGGACCTGTATCCTCTGATGAATGTGGATGATCTGTATGGAACCCTGTATGTACCAAAAGATGGCACCATGGATCCAGCAGGCACCTGTACCACCCTGACCAGAGCCGCCTCCGCCAGGGGAGCCACGGTAATGTGAGCTGGCCCATTGTGGCTACACAATGTTTGGAAATAGATCATGGATGTACATATTTATAATTGCAGTCTAGGCAACCAAATAAAGTTATTATTTATAAATTGTATTTTTGTATTTTTAGAACAGTAGATACAAAGATACGATACAATACTGCAATTAGAAGCTTATACAATTGTGTGTATGTGATTCAAGTTTCAGTTCAGTCTTGCATACTTTTCTGTGTGCTTTACATTATGCTAATTGTCCATATATAGTAAATCCCATCATTCTGAACACTGCAAATATCTTTAAAATAAATTCTGGAAAAAATAAGTAAATAATGTTTAACTTTTCTGTTTGGATCATTTTGGTAGTTTGAAATAACTTTGCATGCATTGCATTTTTTCTAAAGGATTTTGCTTTGCACAGAGTTCTTCTTCTGTAAGCTGCAGCTTTTTTGTGTGACACAACACTGTACTGTGTAAAAATAGCACCCTTATCTAAACAAGAAAATCCAGTGTAGATAACCACGTCATAACCTTGTGTACAGCTAAATATTAATTGCTGGTTCGAACAAATTACGTCTTGAACGGCAGTGAGTAATTGTAACACACAGAACCATACTTCTTAAACTCATCTATAGCCTGAGCCTGACTTCTACATACTAATGCAATTTAAACACAAGAAGAGTAAATATAGGTTTTACATAAAAAAGTAGACATAAGCCTTTTAAGTAATAAAATGCTGAATTTGGGATTTAGCCTGACTTTTTTGCCTCATGAAGGTAGCTACCTTTTGGGTAGATCACCATGGTAACTGAGACTGCACAGCTGCTGGACAGCAAGCTAAACTCAGGCTATCAGATCCAATGTACAGTGTAGTCATGATGTCCTAGATTATGTTACTTAGCCTTACAATGCTAAAGCAACTTGCAACCACTGAAACCATGTGATCATTGAGTGGAAGAATGTGTATTGCACCGTTTGCTTAACTTTGACTGTTATATTTGGAGAACCTCAGCGAAAATGCACTTTAGTGTGAGTGTTAAACACATTTCTAAGTGTTTTACATTAATTTACTATATAGTGATCTATGAGGAATTTTTAAAAATATTATTAGGATTATTAAGTATGGCAAGGTTTCACAGCCTATGAGCAGATATTATTCGAATGATTTACTGCACAACTCCGATGTACGTTATATACTGGGACTCCTGCAAGGGTGGAGCAGAGCATATGCACCATCTCCATGTTGCATGTGAATAACTCCAGACCATCTTCTTTAAATCAGGTGATCGAGAACTGCCCTGTGACTGGTATCCAAGTGCGAACAGATGACTTCGGCATGAAGAAGGTGAAGGCAGTGGAGACCCCTCATGGGACCATTGAGACACCTTGTGTGGTGAACTGTGCAGGTGAGATTCAGGGGCAGCTGAATAATCATTCCAAAGACAACAGTACCTCAGGTTAAAAGGATTTTTCTTTTATTTGACATGTAAATTGAAGTAATTCTGCTGGTAACGTTTTGCCATTAAAGTCGGCCTCTGAAAAATTGTTTGTTACTCTGCTTGTGAGGCCTGACCCTTTCAGCGGGCCAACTGTAGCCCTGGCATAGACGTTTGACACTTAATGCAAAATAAGCAATTTGGTACATCAGGTATTTTTGACCAAATTGCATTTATTCAGAATTAAAGGTGGCATTTTTATTACATTTTTGTCTATGTGTGTTACATGCAGGTGTATGGGCTGCCAAGCTGGGGGAAATGGCCGGAGTCAAGGTGCCTCTTATCGCAATGCATCACGCCTATGTGGTGACAGAAAGGATTGAAGGCATACAGGTAAACCCTCTATTTGTCTGTCTATTTGACTGTGGTTCATGATATATTGTACTAAAAATAAAGTCCACCATTGGTACAATGATCTTTAGACCCCGATAGTGTGGTAGCAAAGGGCAGGTGTGATTTTCATATTTTATGTTATTGCTTTTAGAGCTTCATATCCTGAAAGAAAATGCTGACCTGTGCAGCAAAGCTGTGTCTTAAAATTCTTGTGTTGTCAATACAAGACACCAGAAGATAGAAGAGGCTCCTGATTATGCTACTTATGTTTGTCTCAGTATAGGGTTATTTTGATTTTATTAACTCAACTAAATGACTTGTTGAGCTGTATTGCTCTTCACCTCTTCCTGTATACAACATATCTCTGGGTTCTATGTAGTGTGTTGACTTCTGTTTGAGTATTATATATTTTCTGCACTTTTCATTCTCAAAAATGTCATTTTAAGTAAGCATTAACATTTGAGAGCTTGCATTATGATGTAGCTACCTTTATGAAAATAAGATGAGTTCATTGTTTTGTTAATTCTTATGATAATATGAAGCAGCATAATGTTTCTAAAAACCTTCAAAAAATAGTCCAGAAGAATCGATCGATTATCCTCAGATACAATGCCACTATTACCTTGTGACAGTTATTGTAAGATGTCACAATTCATTAAGAATAGATGTCTCAATTCATACATTTCAGGCATCCTCATAGAAAGTACTACTATAACTAAGATTTTACTATTCATTTAATTCCCCATGGAGAGAGAAATTCTTTCATCTGTCTGTATTAAGTCTGTATGACCAACAGGGGGCACTGTGACATCATAGATTTCCACCTCTAATGGTTCAGACTGTTGTTAGTGAGTGTTGGAATGAGATGTGTGTGCTTGTTTGTGTGTGAGAGAAGTGGAGATTGTTTTCTTTCTATCCTTTGATACTCATAAGTTGTGTATTTGGGTGTGGGGGCCATTGGGGGGGAGGCCTCTGTGTGCAGATATAACACATGTCTGACATGGCTTCTGTATATGATCCACTGTAGCTCTGTGATTGTGGCTCTTGCCTGTGTTAGATTTAGTTAGTGTACACATGCATGACTGGGCTCATCCTCTAGAGGCCGGTGGTTTTAGACGGGCTGTCAGAGCTTCCCTGTGTTATGTAGTTTAAGAGCAGCTTAACCAGCATTACTGCTACATCATGTACACAGGCATCAACCCACACACTAAATGACACACTCACACACTCGGATGCCATCAGGAAATCTGTTCCCACCAGGGTGTGCAACTTGTCAGGTCAAACATCTCATGCTGACCGCATGTCTCTGTGTGAATATAGATGTGTTTTTGTCCTTGGAGGTTGTACTTGGTTTAAATTTAAAAAGGAACCAAGCTTGCTGATATAAGTGGTGTATGTTTTTCACATCTGCGTGAGTACAGAGTGTACTGAAGTCCAGTGCTCAGTATTGATCACATGGAAGTATGGACTGCACTGAAAGAGAGGGAAACAGCAGTTTGGCTTTCATTATATGTAGTACGCCTTTTTCCAAATGTCAGCTTGTTCACTGGTATTTTGGTTTTGTACCCACAGAGCCAATTGACTTTCGAATGAAAAGTGCTTGTGACGGAATGAATACAAATGACACAAAATACTTGAAGTGTAATTATTCATTAGACACTTCTATAAGAATGTTTACTGTGACTGAAGGAGATAAATGCTCCTCTCTCTTGTGTTTTGAAAGAAGATTTCATGCTATGTCAGTAGCTGCCATACTATACATAAAAAAAGACTATGGTTTGTTAAGGTATGTCAGGGTATGTTCCACTGGTGCTGTAAAGATTTTTAAGCTTGTTATGTCCCATATTGTATATCCTGTTCTGTACATACGCCATTGTGTAAAGTAACAAAAAGCACTAAATGCCATCTGAGAATCTGGGCAGAGTAAAGGGAAAATCTGCTTTATTACGATGAGAACAGCATGGTAATTTCCTTTTCGTTTCACCAAATTCCCCCCATATAATGGTCCTATTTTTGGTTCTGTTGTGATAAGAAAAGTTACGCTGAAATTAATCCGTTCATTGACTGACATAAAATTAACCAAGAATTGTGATAACTTTTAAAAAGAGAGAAATATTAAGCATTTTGGTGGTAGAGCTTTAAATATGTTGCCATCAGCTTGGCTTTCTTTGGGTCTTTTCATTATGAATTAATTTTCTACAGTTTTAGCTGCCAATCAAACAAAGTAATCATTTTTTTAGATAAAGAATGAGCCTGTAATAACTTGTGATGTGCATTTGCGATTATGTTTCAGTTAATTGATGAATAAAAATTCATCCTCCTCTTGTTAATGATATTTAATCTGCCCATCATTCTGTGACTACAGCACAATGAGTTTGGACTAATTTAATGTTTTAAATGTTTCCACTTCGGTTTTTTGCAGAACATGCCAAATGTCAGGGACCATGATGCATCAGTGTACCTGCGCCTCCAAGGTGATGCCCTGTCCGTGGGTGGATATGAACAAAACCCCATTTTCTGGGAGGAGGTGAGCTTGAATATTCTCTGAATGATTAACCGTCGTATTCTCTGTCGATAGCTTTGAGACTTTGAAACCTTAAGTATTGTGTGTTTGTGTGCCTGAGTGAGCGGCATGACGCAATGTCCGTCTTGTTTGACATAAAATCAAATACTTCAATTAGGAAGCTTAATAAAGTTTAATCCTGTTTAGAGACTTCTCATTCTCTCCGTCAGTTTGACCTTATGTCTTATTTAGTCTGTTTTTCCATTCGCTTGTCATTAATTACTTGGTACTGTATCAGCTTGGAGGTCAAACGGTATTCATAACAGGACTCAAAATTGTGTGTGTGTGTGTGTGTGTGTGTGTGTGTGTGTGTGTGTGTGTGTGTGTGTGTGTGTGTGTGTGTGTGTGTGTGTGTGTGTGTGTGTGTGTGTGTGTGTGTGTGTGTGTGTGTGTGTGTGTGTGTGTGTGTGTGTGTGTGTGTGTGTGTGTGTGTGTGCGTGCGTGCGTGCGTGCGTGCGTGCAGTTTTATTCCACAGTGGTGGAAGGAAAAATACAGGTCCTTTTTATTTAAGTAAAAGTTGCATAATAATAATGAATAATATAAGTCCTGCATTCAAGTAAAAGTAAATATAAGTAACATTTTCCAGAAAGAAAAAGTCTGGCATTATAGGATATATGCTTACTTGCTTTCTTGCCAAAGGTTGGGTGAGAAGATTGATACCACTCACGTGTCTGTAGCCTAGCTTAGCATAAAGACTAGAAATAAACAGCCTAACCTGAACATCATGCTGTATGGATGAAGACTTGAAACTACCAACTGAGACCATAGAATCATTAGGAAACTTTTTACTGTGGTAAAAAATCAAATAAAAAGTAGGGTAATTTCCCCATAAGACTAAATACTATCTCGCTAAATACTTTTTTTCTTGCATCCAATGGAGTGGCCCCCTGCTGGCCATAAGAAAGAATCCAGGTTTAAGACACTTTGCTTCACTTCACAGACCTGGAAGACCTATCCACTAATTAAATACTGTCAGTAGTTTAATCTTAAATATGGTGGTTTTCCTGGGGATTCATTTTGGACAGAGTTTCTCTTGTTTACAGTCTTTGTACTAAGCTAACTGGCTGCTTGTTCTAGCTTCCTTATTTAGACAACCAACATAAACACAGAGTGGTATCAATCCTATCATCTGAAAAAAGTACAAGAATGCAAAGTACAAACAACATTGCAAGTCAAGCATTGAGGCAAAGTTGTTATACTGAATATAAACGTAAAGAAATAAGGTGTCCACAGGCCTAATCCTCTGGCTGGGTATCAAATCCGTACTTTATCAAAAAGGTATTGTGTACCATGTCATCCATAGTAAAAAATCAAGTGTCTTATTGCCTGCACACTAGATATTTATTATAGGCAGATTGATGAGTTTAGTACATGCCCCAAGAGAGATAAACCCATGGATTTTAATGACCCCATAGCTTTTCTTTTAGCACCACCCACAAACCGTATGTTTTTGGAGCCACTACTGGTGAAATCGCTTTTTACTGGAACATTAAAACCAAAGCATTTCTGTAAAAGACTGTGAAGACAAATTATTCAAACAACTCTTTGGCAGCTATAAAAAGTAATCGTACAGGCGGTTTTTTCATGCACACACTGACTCTATGAAGGGGTGGTTGACTTTGGAGATTGATCTTTTATAAAAGCCTTTGAATCGACAGGTGGTCTTAATGGATGTGTGCTCTATCTCAAAGACAGGTTTTTATAGTAGTTTGTTAACTGGGCTGGAAGGTTTGGTGGCAGGCATCTTTTTCCTGTCCAAGGGTTCCACATTTATAACTTTTCACTCCTCATGAATTCAGGTTTGATTTATTCATTTATTCTTACACTGTAATCCTGCACCCCTACCATTTACAAGTAAAGATTTCTATCTATTCAACCTGCTCATGTTTAAGAATGAGCCATATCAAAAATACATTTAAGTGGTACAACTTGTAGAAACAAACTAAACAAAATATATCTCTCAGTCTTTGATAAAAAGTTATCAGGCCCAAAAAATGTAAATACTAGAACAATATTAAATTTCAGTTTCTCATGAAAGGCATTAGATTGGGGTTCTGCAGGACACTGATAATATCTTCTTTCTAGTCAGACTGACTTTATGACTTTCTGTCTTTCCGTCTGGCTGCCTGCCAGTCCACATACTCCTCAGTGGTTTTACATTTTAGAGGATTTCTTTTTCGCAGAAGCAGCTTCTTTTGTTCGCAGAAGCAGCTGAGCATTGCTTTGATGTCTTGAGGCGGATGGAGGAAGAAAGAGGAGATACAGAATGGAGAATTAGCAGGGAGATGGAGAGAATAGAGGGTGCAGGCTGAGTGAAGATGAGCAGGATCGATGGCTTGGGAGGGATTGAGAGAAGTGTGGTGTCTAGGACAAAGAACGCTGCTCTTTACATACTCCAGTTGAGTGTCAGTGCTCGGTAATAATACAGAAACTCTTTGTTCACATAAAAGCAGCTACCAACAGCTTGCACATCCCTGTAACGTTCAAGTCTTAATAGAAACTGAAAGTGTCACCATTGACGCTAATTGTAAAGCCATAGGAACTCCTTTCTCCCTCAGTATTCTCAGACTTCTGACTTAAAGAATCACTTGTGCCTAATATATTTAACATTATAGGTGGTAGGTTGATATTATCCAGTGTGGTATTTGTTTGCAGTGACTCAGAACAGTTGCCCTCTAAAAAATAAGAGATTGACTGCTTTTCTGGGAAGTGGGAATTGCATTTCACCAGGAGCCAAAATGGAGAAGAGTCAAGTTTGAGTGGTGGGATAACCAGATCAGTGCCAGGATATAGGGAGAAATACATGACTGATAAAATCGCTGCACAGAGCACAAGCTGGTGTGCTGGACTTTTTAAATTGAGCACCCTGAGTCAGTCAGATTAGTGTAGGAGGAAAGAGTTTTAAGGCGAGGCAGTCTGCACTGCCTGGCATGAGTTGTAGGAGCTAAAGGCTCCATTTTGGCCTGGCTGACAAGGAGGGAGTTACAGAAGTCCAGATGGGAGCAAATTAAAGCTTGGACTGGGAACTGAGAGGGAATGGTCTGATTTGACAGATGTTGATTCCCTGGTGAGAGAGAGTCGGTTCAACAGATGCTACAGGATTGTGTTTTGGCTGCAGTGTGTGTCGTCCTCACACATTTGGCACGTTCTACAGTCACGTGTTGACTTGGACTGAATTTACAGTGTTCTTGTCAAAAGTGATAAGGAATAAAAAGGAAAAAGAGCACATCAGTCTCAAAGACATTGACTTTGAGGTGGGGCACCAACATTGAACATCCAGCAATCCACTGCAGTGGTGTAGATTCATTTTGTGGGGAATACAAACACACAGAGCTGAGTATATCTGGTGTTTGATACAAAAAATGACAATGAGACAATGTGAAAGTGGTCGCCCGTAGTGATGAACCTATAGATCATTTTTCCTCAAGAGTCAGTAGAGACTAAAAATAGCTCAAAGAGAGTGAATATTGGGATTGCACTCCTCAGGTGGCCAGAAACACGACTCCAAATTAATTGCAATGTTGCTCCGCAACTACTGGATGTGTGACAAATTTGATATAAATATAGCAACTGATAAAACAAAAAGAAGATGGTGATGTGTAAATATTTTATTTGCAACTTGTTTCCACTGCTTATTGTTATTGGAAGTTATTACAAGTTTAAAATAAATCCTAGAATTTATCTTTGTTATTTTTTAATAAATCATCTAAAACACAAAAATACACAATTTTCTACACAAGCACTGTGTAATCTTACTTGATTTTTTGTTTTGTTTTTTGCTTATTTGGTTCATAATCTGTCACTAATTTGCCTTTTCTAAAATGTTCTTCCTTTATTTTAAACATCAATGTGTTCTTGCTGCAGGATAGACTATATAACTTTCAAAGAGTTTAAAAACCTGTTTAAAGTAAGTCATGTATTTGTGTTTTATTTCCCAGGTGTCTGATAAGTTTGCCTTCAGCCTGTTTGACCTGGACTGGGATGTATTCACGCAACATATTGAGGGTGCAATCAACAGAGTTCCTGCCCTGGAGCAGACTGGCATCAAGTCCACTGTCTGCGGACCAGGTAGTCTCAGACACACACACACACACACACACACACACACACACACACACACACACACACACACACACACACACACACACCAGTTCCACTGAAGCATACATTTTTGTAAAACTTGTGCAAGCCCTTCTTGCAAAAGTCTTATAACATTATGCATTACAGCAGGGAACAAGCAACTTTCATGACACTTCTTAAATTGGACACATTCTAATTTAAAAGTGAAATGGATCCGTATGTGAAATGTCCTATGCCCAATGTCCCATACTGCATTTGCTCATGAATACCTAAACTAGTAGGCTGTGTGTCATGTTTGTAGAGAGAGTTTGATCCCCGGCTTCCTGTCCAAGCTGTAACACGTTACCGACGTGGTTGAATGAGCCGGTCTGGAGCTGTGCAGCCTGAAAAGTTACAGTATCCAAATAGATTTTTCATCATCATCGTGTGATGCAGCTGTTTGGAGAGTCAGAAGGAATTTGTGAAGTGAAACAAATGACTGAGCTGAGCTGAAACGTACAGTTACACAAAAATATAGTCACAGATATGGATGAATGATCAGAGGAAGAGAGAAATTGAGAAGGAAATCTGAAAAAGAGGGAAGGAAACTGCAAAGCATAAACAGTAGAATTTGTGAAGTAGTGGAGATATAAAGAAAGGCAAACAATAGCATAAGTAGAGATGAGAGAGGAGAGAGGAGAGAGAGAGAGGAGAGAGAGAGAGAGAGAGAGAGAGAGAGAGAGGAGTCGAACAAAATGTGAGAAATGGAAAACGGACCATGATGGGAAGAAAAATAAATGGAGGATAAGAAAGACGGAGCTCAGAGGTAGAGGAAGCTCAGGGAGTCCAGTTGTTGTTGCGAGCCATCTCCTCACCCGTGACCTTTATTTTAAGGCTGGATTTGTTTCTTTTCAAGTGTTTTGTTTACACAATCAGTACACCGCGTTGAGCACTTTTCACTTACTTGGTCCTCAGCCGTTTCCTTGAGGAGAGAGCAGGAAGAATGCAGCAGAGATCTCAACCGTGATCAGAGTGTTATGAGTTCTACAAGTACCCTATGCCCTTCAGAGCGTAGAAAACATACAGTAGAAAGGTGTTTCACTTCAAAGAACTTGCACTTCAAAAGGTTGGTTTACCATTAAGGTCGAAATTGCAATTAAGTAGATCTGTTATAATACGTGTGTGTGTATGTGTGTGTGTGATGAGTACAGTACATCGTTCCATGCCTTCAAACCTATCTCCACATCACCATGTTAAAACCTCATGAGTCTGTCTGTCTTACATTTGTTGCCACTTTTAATCGACAAATTTTCTCTCGCTTTCCGTTCCCAGAATCATTCACAGCAGACCATAAGCCGCTGATGGGAGAAGCCCCAGAAGTCAGAGGTTTCTTCCTGGGCTGCGGCTTCAACAGTGCTGGTAAGTGCTGCAGGAATGGAAAAATCGAAGAAAGCATTAGAGAAGACAAAGAAACAAAAGAAAAGAGAGGGAGAGAAACGAGTAGCGCACAAGGATGAGAGTGGAAAGATCGCCAACATCGTAATCTTTACCTAAAACAGATGATGCATATCACTCACAGCCGTATGCTGTCAAATACTTCATGGCATAGAGCTTTCCCTTGAGGGAACCATAAAATGACAGGGCTAGAAAGGTCAACGGAATCTTACAAGAAAGTATATGGCACAATATGCAGGAAGAAAACAAACAAACAAGTAAGTAGAAATGGCCGAGGAGTGTTTTTCCTACTCCTTTGACCCGGCCATCGCCTATATCTGTGGACACTCTCAAGGCACAAATGAATAATGGAGTGCTTTTCATTTCAGGTCCATGGAGAACACACACACACACACACACACACACACACACACACACACACACACACACACACACACACACACACACACACACACACACATACAAACAGCAACCAAGTCACTCCATTACTTACTCCATTAGCTTGCCTCTGACATTAGACAGGGAGAAATGTGAGTATCTCAGCAATCTGAAAAACATAGAGAGAGGGGGCGTAAAGTGTAAAGTAATCGCTGTCAGCGTTGACAGACAGTTGAGAGAAAGCTTTTTCTGCATAAGAGCAAAAGACTACAGGGTCAAGCTCTGAAGTTGTTATGACAAGAGCTTGGGAGGTGGAGTGCTAATGAGTGAGCATATATTTTTATCAACAGTCACACACAACGCCTTCTGTTGTTTTTTTGCTTCAAAAGTGTAGGTTTTGTTGGATGCTAAGTTCTTGCAAATGGCTGAGTGGTTGTTGCTGTTCTCACTCTCTTATTCTCAAAGCACTTATGTATGAGACACTCATTCTGTCCATCAGTCTGATGGTAGGTCGGTTATAATCTTGTTATCCATCGTCAAGTTAGCAATTTATCATACTCTCCTTTCTATGGAGTTATTTTAGCGCCAACACAAATTGAACATTTCATATTCAAAACTATTACATTTTTGATTGAAAGCATCACCTTGAGCTTTGGAAAAATGTGTATTTTGCGTTATAGATTAAATGATTAATCAAAAACATAATGTACAGACAAAAAACGTTAATTAAAAAAAATCCTGGAGTCCCTTTTCAAACCATGTAAATGTTCTTTTTCTTCTACTTTATGCAAATAAAAGTGTAACATTCCTATCTGAATGGAGGTGGATAAAATATTGCAGTCACCTCGCCCTTAAGTCTGTGTTTTAAAGTGTCATGCTGTGCCCAAGCTCATTGAAATGGAACCAGTGTCACCGATGTATTGCACTAGATAATTGATAAATAGGGATTTTCCACTGATCATGCACAGCAAGGATGGCCCTAATGCCTTTGACTAGCCTGACACACAGGCATTTGTACTCTGCATGCACACACACACAAACAAAATATACTAGTTTTATCAAAGCAGGGGCTTGGTAATGTCCATTTGTCCCCATGTCGTCCTTCTTCCCTCTCTGTATGTTAGTCACTCATATCCCCCCCTTGCCCCTTTGTCCCTCTGGCAAGGGAAAAGTCTTCTGTCCATTTTATTCCGTCACACAAAAGCACATGCACACACATGAGCTCATACAGCTTATTTAGCTCAAGGCGGGGCAAGACAAGTGGGGTAATTCAGACACCACAGGGTCAAAGTTGACACATTCACATTAAGAAATCCATCATTGAGTGCTTGGTAAGCTTTTCAGCCTCCAGTTGTTCTGTTTTAGTTGTTGGAGTTCATTTTCGTTTCCAATCAGTAACTGCTTACTCTGTTGTATTTGTTGCCTAGCAACATTAAGTTACATTTCCTTTATTCTAGTCAGAACCATCAAACTCAGCTCTTAGCTTTGAGTGCATTTATTTATTGTGAGTATGGTTCTTTTATTGCTTTTAACTGCTGCACCTCTTACGCAGCTGCATCACTATCTTGCTGATAATCATAAGAATGAGCACCTTCCCAGTTATTATGGCTGTCTGAAGCTTTTTATCCCATTTTAAGACACAGAAAATTGCTTGTGTTCAAGGTAGTAAACAGTGAACTCTGAACTCTGAAATAACTGAAAAAAACACTGGGTTCAGTGGCATAATATTTTTCTAGGATAGTGACACAAATAGCAATGAGACTCATCTGCTGCAGTTTCACTGAGGTAGAAGATGAGGATAGAGAGATAAATAGAAGAGGTGGTAGTAATGGAAGGCCTAAAGAGGAGCTAGTTTGAATCCTTATAGAAAAAAGAAGGAAAAGGCAAGGACTTGACACAAATTCACCTCTTACTTAACACAGTGATCTTAATTTACAGGTGATAATATGTCCCAGCCTCTTAAATACAGTGGGTGTTACAGTATTTCAGTCACTGTAGAAGCTGGTACACTTTTGGATGGAGACCGGCCGGCATTTCCCCCAGCTTTTATGCTATGCTAAGCTAAGCTTAGCTGACTATTTTACAACTGTAGCTTTATATCAAACATGTCTCATCAATTCTCAGCTAGAAATCAAATAAGCATATATCCCAAATTGGCTTTTTATGGTCTAAAGTAGACTTATTTACGTGATGTGTTTTTTTTATTTATCTCAGGTTGTCAGGTTTGGTACCATTTTGGTCAACAGACCAAAACCTGTGTTCACCAACAGTATTTGGCAACTTGCACTGTGGCTCCAGATGCTGCACATAAGCATAAGTTAAATTATGGTGTTGTTTGAATAAGTCAACTATATTGATGCTCATAGCCAAAGTTTTGAACTTTGGACATAGTGAAGCTAGCAGTTTCCCCCTGCCACCAATCATTGTGCTGAGCTACGCTGAACAAATCCCGACTCCAGCTCCGTACTTAACATTCCGACATTAGATTGGTGAGTGCATTTTCTAAAATGTTTTTATCTATTCCTTTAGCTGTAACCTAGAATGCTTTTTAACCAAATGTAGTGCTGTTTGACCAAGGGGTCTAACTGTCTTTCTCACCTGCAAATCAAGATGCTTATTGGGCTACTATGGTGGCGAAGGGAAAAAAATGTGTATGTGTAGTTTTCTCCCTTTTTCAAAGCATGTTTTAATTGCTAGCAGCATCACTGTAAATGTCAGAAGCGAGGGAGAGAGAAAATATGTTTAAAAGAGAGGAGAGGGCCCGGTAGATAATGTCATAGAAAGGAACAAATGTTTGCAAAGCATAAACGAACAATAATAGAGCGAGATACCGATAGCGTGGTAAGTAAAGGGGAAGCACAAAGGCAATGAGGAGGTGATGATAAGATGACTGGAAGCACGAGCATGAGGGTTCACAAGCCGATACACGCTCACACATCAGCGCGGTTATCTCGGGTGACATTTGTCAGCGCCACCGTGCCTTGCTGGTTGTCTCCACATTGTCTAGTACAAACTCCATCATACCCCAACCACCCTCCTTTCCTCTGTCTCTCCACCCCTTGCTCCAATCCATCCATCCATCCCGCCATTCAAACACCAACCCCAGGCTTGGCCCAAAGTGACACTGCAGAAGAGTGAAGCAGTGAGAGATGGAGGGAGAGGGGATGCCGTGAGAGATGGTGATTGAGGGATGGAGCACGAATGCAAGGACACACTGCTCGTGCTGCTGCATAGTGATGTATCAGAGTGTGTATATGTACACACACATACACACACACACACACACACACACACACACACACACACACACACACACACACAATGTATGCAAATTACCAGCAACACAAGAAGGGGGTTGGTAAAAGGGAACAGCTCATTAACCCAGCAGTTTTGGGACTGGATGGATAAAATATTGAATTGTCAGTGTTGAAATAAATAGAATGCTGCAGCCGTTGGGTGCAGCTGATGAGGTCATATTGCTCAGGGGCAGCTGTGAGCAAGGGTCAAATGACGGAACAAAGGTCAAAACAATCCTCTGTAGGTCATATGACATATAGAGGCTGTAGCAGAGGACAGAAACTGCTCTTCTCTTCTCCAAATTAATGAGACGAACTCGCAGTCCTCTAGACAGGCCATCAGTGAGGAGGAGTGGAGAGAGGTCCTGTTTTTTGTTCAGATTTTCCACTGTGATTTCCCAACTAGTGCTTGTGCAACTGTGGACCCAGAAATGTGTTAGGTTTGGATAAAAAGAACTGTCATCATTTTCATCATAAGTTAGATTTTGATTATTTTTTGTTAGTTTCTGAATAATTTAATTTATAAAATATCACAAAATAGTGAAACAGGCCCATCTTCATTTTTCTTTTGATAATCAGTCCAAAATTGTGCTGTCACCTTGGCCTCTGGGAGTTTTTTCAATGGGCATTTTTCTCTCTTGTCTGACATTTCATCGACTAAACTATGAATCAAAGACAGACTTATTGATAATGAAAATAAATGTTGCAACTCTAAACCAAAGCCTGAAGATATTCCGTTTCAGTTTGTATATAAAGATTAGATACAAAGCAAATCCTCACATTCAAGAGGAATGGATATAACCAGCACATTTACCATGTTTTAATAAATGACTCCAGCAGTAGTTTATGTGATTTCTGTAAGAAACTGAATGTGATTACGAGATGCTGTTCATGACAGTTTCCATCTCCTGTATGTGTGTTTCTGTCAGGTATGATGCTGGGAGGTGGTTGTGGTAGAGAGCTGGCTCACTGGATCATACATGGGCGCCCTGAGAAGGATATGTATGGTTACGACATCAGGTACATCAGTGCACACAAAGTATTTGAGCAGTGGCAGCAAGTGACATAGGTGTGGTGCCACCCTACAAAGCAGAACGTGGTTTTAAGGGTCCGATTGGCAATTTATTAAAGGGCGGCAGGAACCAGAATAACTATGAAGTTTTAATGAAGTCTGAATGATTGTGACTTACTTCTCAGACGTTTCCATCACTCGCTGACAGACAACCAACGCTGGATCCGAGAGAGGAGCCACGAGTCTTACGCCAAGAACTACTCTGTGGTGTTCCCCTTTGATGAACCACTGGCCAGCCGAAACATGAGGAAGGATCCCTTCCATCAGGTAGATTAGCGGGTTTGATCTCCAGTGTAGGCATTTAAGTTGAGGCCCCGCAGGTTTTATTGGCAAAGAAATTGCTCTTTTTTTGCATCTGGACTTGTAACCAATAGATGATAGAAAACAAGAATGAAATTAACTATAAAAAGATTACTAATGAATTTGATCACATTTTATACTTCTATACAAGTTTTTCATATTTTTGGAGAATATTGTCAGACTGTAAAATTAGAAAAACAAATTCACAATTCAAGGACAGCATGCAAAAACACAGTGTACCTTCAGTTCAGTGTTATGAGGAAATCAACCAAAAACAGCAACAGTGTTCTCCTGTCCCCAAAGGTTAGAAGACCATATTCTATTTTTCCAAGATTATTTATTTATTTTCCACATTTTTCCTTTTATTTTACAGTACCACCTTGGCTTTAGTAAAGCACCTTAAGTTAGTTTGGCTTTTTTTTGTCAAAAAGTGTAGGCAGTGTTGTGTACCCCTCAGGATTTAGACTGGCAGACACCTTTTGGCTTTTGCGTAGCTGAGGGGAAACGTTCTGGACTGGTATCGACAAGCTTTCCTAACATAGATGAAACCTGTTCACCTCTCTGAGCCACAGGAGCTTCTCTACTGCCATTATCTGACCAGATAACTTGAAAACTTCATATATTTTTAGAGGTTGTATGAGTCACTGTTTTTCTCCTATACTTTTCAGATTTTTGTCCTTCAGCCATTCATTCCACTCATTCTTTTAGTTTTTTTCCCCCATGATTGTACCATTACCTTCACATATCTGTTTCTCATGTGGTATTCTCTCTTTTGGACATCCTCCCTAACACAATTTCCTCTTTTATTCATCCTGTTATTTATACTGGATGTCAGTCTCTCCTTTTCTCTCTTCCTCTGGTTCGCACACTCTTTGTTCTTGCTACAATCTGTACTTTGTGTGACAGAAAAAGCGTTGCCGCTGTTTCGTTCCCTCTATTAACCTCATTAACCTCAGCATCTGATTGGATAATTGAGACAGTAACATGGTGATAGAGCAAATCAACATATAAATAATGCTGCTGAAAAGCCCAGGTTGTGCTGGCTCGAACGCTGAATAGAGTGCACTTAAGTTGTAAATAGGAATGTAGAACCGGCTGTGTGTGTGCTTTCATGTCTTCTCATTGAATATTTTGCCATGCTAGTCTTGAAGTACTGGTAATACAAGTGTGAAGATGCAAAAAATCATTTGTCAAACTGACTCCATCTCTCTCAGTATGTTTATCTCTCTGTCACCCCTTTCTGTCTCCCCCTCTCTCTCTTTCTTCTCCTGTGTTCTCCACTCAAATTTAGAGGCAAATAGCTGATTCAGACTCAGGCAGACAGCAGTTAGCAGTGTAACTTATCCCCAGCAGCTACATTTATTAATGCGATCCGTGCCAACATGGCTATAAATGATACACTTAGTTTAAGTCTCGGATGTCTTTCAGCTTTCTTTCTCTCCGTAGCCCAACACAAACCCTTAATGGGCCTTGCCACCATATTTTATGCATTAATGACCCACTTAGCCTTGCTTTCCTGTTCCAGGCTTCATTTACCTTTTAACTGTTGCAATTTCTACCCCCGCTCATGCATGCAGGCATTCTTTCAGAAAAGATTACTGTCACACAAAATTGCATTAGCAATGTTTTCAATGTATTTTATAGATCATGTCTACTGCTTTCTTAGAGCTTGTTTTATTTAGCTTTCCTGACATCCTTACATTTTTAAAAGATTTTGTACAGAATGAGCAAAGTCATTAAGGTGTGCTAACTTTTTAAAAATATTTTTCAGTTAGTGTCCTATGTGTCCTCACACATTTTTACATATTCAAGAAAAATTTATTTACACTTTGGATCAATTAAATCAAAAATGTGATTTAAATATATTTTGTTATGCAAATAGTGTAACTTTTTTAATACTTAATGAGCATAATCAGCTCATTTGCATTTTTCTCAGTTTCTCTCTTCACTTTCTATCACTTATTCTTTCTGAGCTATACACATGGTAGGAAGACCTTGGTTACTGTGTATTATGGTGATACATTACAACAATTTTAAGATTTGTTTTGGATTAAAATTTGTGTTAAATCAGTTTTATACTGATCTGCTCCTTTTTTTTTTTTTTTTTTTTTTTAATCCCCCAAACTATGAGCATTTCTTGTACCGTAACAAAAAGCTCAGTTTATTACTCCTTTGCAAAAGGCAGTTTGTTAATTTTTAACGGGTATGGCCTAATGGGAGCAGGTTACTTAAAAGAGCTTTTTTTTTTTAAGTAACCTGTTATATAAGCTGTATAGTTTAGAGAATATTATAGATCCACGATGACAGAAGGGCAGGACTGAGAGTTAAAGGCGCAATTACAAATGCTACTATTTCAGCACCACGGACAGCGGCATGGATTTATTAATACACAGCACAGTTACTTAGCTACCGATATTTCAGAGCGATGATTGGGCCATTTAAGTTGAACTAACCTCAGTCAGATAAAGGATCAATGAGTTCATAACCCAAGTTAGACGTTATGATGTTCCTGACCTTTGCTTGAGGAAATTCTTCTGTTTTTAGAGCATGCAATGTGAAATTACTTTTCTCTGACTCACTTATTTCTCCGACTGCTGTCCCTCGTCTCTTCCCTGTGTGTGTATCTCACTCACTGACTCGAGTCGTAATGCTTATTTGAATGGACAGATTTTCCGAGTAGCATCACGTGAGATCATTTACAGCACCTGCAGCTGGTCTGTGAATTTCCTGGGCCATTAAACCAGTGCTGTAAAGGCTAGAAAAGCTGCGCAGCTCAAAATAGAAACACCCCATCGAAATTGAATGATTGTCAGTAATTTATTGATTATAGATCCGGGTTGGGATGGGATGGCATCTGGGTCCAGACCCAGACTGCGGTCCACCAATTTGTGTTCTTTGTATTTGGGGATGGAGAGGGGAAGTGGCAAGTTATCAAGGGTGATGGCAAAAAGCAGTTTTATCACATCCAGGTAGATGTTAGATGTGTTGCTAGCAACAGATAGAAATTGATACATGAAAAATGGCACAACATTATTCGTCATGGCCAGATTTTGCTGCACTTTTGTGTTCCAGTACGGTGTAAAATGTCCTCACAAATATTTATAGACCTCTTGTAATTTGGGATCTCTTTGGGAAATATTTATATAGCCTCTATGTGTCATTGCCATTACGAAATGTAACACCCATTGCTGACGGACACTAGATTGTGTCAGCATGCAGTGTTATTTTCAGACGGCTGTGGCAAATCTAATGTCCTGTTGTACAACACTACAAGACGTAAATCCTTTCACCTTTTTCCAGCCAGGTCAGGTGTGATTATGTTATTTTCAGTATTTTGTATGGTACCAGATTATATGTTAGCAGTGAAAAGACACAAATAGCTGCTCTCAGGTAGACAGACTTGAAGACTCGAAGGAGAGCACAGTCCCTGTGAGACTGGGTTGGTCCAGCCCTTTTCTGCACGCCCATTAGACCCCTGCTAATCACTCGTCGAGGGCCATCACCTAGCAACTAGCTTTCCTGCTGATGGAGAGCCTCAGATAAATGTAGGGGTGGCAGAGAGAAGAAGAAAAAACACCTAAAAAGTCTAATTATTATTTTTAAAAAGAGCTTCTGTTCACCATACTGGCTCTTGCTCCTAATCACGACTGAATGTGTTATAGCTGAGAGGTACTTCAGGAGTTTGATCATCCAAGGAAGCTGTCCCTGTGCAAATAATGGGACTTTCTACTTTTAGGAGGCAACACAAGATTATTTCAGAGCACAAACAGGCCATCTCTGACACTGCTGCTTACACGTTTTCTCCACCTCGGTAGCACGGATGGTAAATATAGCATGGTGTGGGAAGTTTTGGCAAGAGACAGCTAGCTGCCTGCTAGGAAGAGAGCATAGCAGAACATACCTACCAACTGTGGGCGACTGTCAGTTTTAACAAGGAGGATGGTAAGCGCTGAAATATCTTATTTCAACGCTGGTCAAGAATTAACAAGTGCACTGTATTTGCAACTGTTGGTGCTAAAAGAGGGTTTCTACCATCACTTCTGTTTGATTGATCTGTTAGATATAATGTTTGCTAGCAAGTTTCCAATAATAACTTCATTAAATCATGATATGTTGCTGTTGTAGTTAGAGCTTGTTCTGCCACCCCCAAAATCAATTAGTGCTGCTTAAATACTTAAAAAAAAATAAAAAAATACAGCAGCTATGATTTGTTTTATTCTTCGATAATGAAGAGTGAAGTTGCTGAATATCAAAATAATGCTGTGAATATATGCTTTTAATTAAAATCCAAAACATCCCCATTTTATAACTTTGGCATATGTTTTTGTGCAATGATTCCAAAATGAACACTGAATAATAAACCTTATCAGCGGCTTTTTCTCGCTGTGCTGATTTTATCTCTTTGTTTGTGTGATTATTTGTCGTAGGTGCTGACGGAACAGGGCTGTGTTTTCCAGGAGAGACATGGCTGGGAGAGACCTGGCTGGTTCAACAAAAGCAAGCCCGCTCCTGTGAGACACACTCTTACACTACGTACATACTGTATATACTGTACACAAGCGCATGCACGGAAGTGATTTATCTACATATACATATTGACAAAGGGCACTTGGAAAGACAAGAACAATTAAGATGCTATTTTTTCACACTTTGTTCCTCTCTTGTACTTGGAAACACTGATAATTGGTTAGCCTCTAACTATTTGTTTGTCTTTATTATCGCAAAGGTTAAAGACTATGATTACTATGGGGCTTATGACATTAAGAAGAATGTGAACTACAAATACAACGAATTGCTGGGCAAGGAGTACACCTTTGACTTCCCTCCACATCATGACGTGGTAAGGTACTAAGTGTAAAATTGAGTGTGTTATTCAGCAGAACAATGTTATTAAATTGCATGCAACTTCCTGTTTTGTCAAAGCAGTATGGGCCAAACAACTCGCCAGTTGAGTATAAATACACTTTGAAGGCTCCCATAAGGAAAGAGAACATGTGTCCTCAAGGGAAATAACAATCATGGACAAATGAGAGTGATGGAAGTACAGTCAGTGAGGTTTATGGGGCATAAAGTGCTTATCAAACTAACTCAGCAGCTCAGAGGACACACCACAAGGGGAGAATCAGCCACCTTGACGTCAGAACTTCTTTATTACTGCTCCCCTTTTCACAGCTGTTTCCTTCAAGGATCTGGCTCCAGATATAAATACAGTCATCTAGTCATGTTTGGCAAAGAGAGGAAGACACTTTCATTTAATTTCAGGGTCTTCGTTAATTGGATGTGTGTGTTTGTTTGTTTATTTTAAATGCAGATTAAGAGCGAGTGCCTCTCATGTAGAAACGGTGTGGCCGTGTTTGACATGTCCTACTTTGGAAAGTTCTATCTCACTGGACCAGATGCCAAGAAGGCGGCTGATTGGCTGTTCACAGCTGATGTCAACAAGAAGCCAGGTCAGTCTGCTGCAGCAAGAACACACACACAGACACCTACACACACGCACACAAATGCACAGGCAGATGGGAGAGAAGATTGACAGAATGAAGAGGGCAGATACATGGATAGAGGGATGAAACAAGATGCCAACACATGAGCAAAACATTCCATTCTTCTACAAAATCTGAAAATATCACTAACACTAACTGCCAGTAAAAAAGTCTCTTAGAGGTTCTGTTGAAAGTGGTGACAAGGGAGTCTGCACTGCCAGATTTTATTTTATTTTTTATCAGCAAACCGACAGGTACGCCTTTTTTCTGCAGTGACAGGTGTGTACAGATGTGAAAATGGGCAGAGCTCCAAATGCTCTGATATTCTTTTTCTCCACTTTCCTTACAGTCATACTTCAACTGTCAGTTTCCACTGCTGAACAGAATAGATCGCCTCTGTGTTGACAGCAATATCCTCTCAGAAACTGAAATCTGTCATCCGACCTTTTTAGGTCTGATTTTTGGCGACTCCCACTGGTACCACCCCACAGATCTGACCCATGGGCACTGAACGGTTGGACTGAACGCAACACACAGACTGCACTAGTTTTTAAACAAATAATAACTTTTACTGTTAGAATAATTTGAAACAAATACTGTACGTCTACCCACGTAAGCTTTGAGTGGGAACTCCACAATGAAGGTCAGTTTACTAGTCAAAAGCACTGCTTAGCACTGCTTTGCCTATAAAAACAGGCTTATAATGCTTCATGTGTTACCAAAGTGGATGTGTGTCATATACCAGGCAGGGTGGGTCTAATGAAAAGATGCAATTTTCTTTCATTATGGGAAATGTGTCATCCATTGCAAACACAAGGATCAATCGTACACTGGAAACACGGCTTTAAACTTTTAAACTTAACCTAAAATCTTAATTAAAGGTTTTTGACCAACTGCAGGTCTTCCTTCCTGTGTGTCAAGCTAACCATGTTTCAAGAAAAATGAAAAAAATAAATAAATAAATAAATATATAATATAATAAAATAAATATGAAAAGATATACAAGTATGTCTTGTACACACTTGGAATCAATAGGTCACAAAAGATACACAAAATCATGGAAGACTAATTTTAAAGTACCACTGCATATGCTTTTGTGGCATCTAGTGGTTTATTTGCAGATTGCAACTCCCTGGCTTCATTCTCCCCTTCCAAGCAGGAAGAAGAAACTATGGTGACCGTGAAACACATAAAAAAAAATGCCCCTATCTAGTGCCAGCGTTTGGTTCCTCCCTTCTGGAGCTACTGTGACATGGCAGTTCAACATGGTAGCCTCCACGGAATGTGACCCTTAGTGTCTGTAGATATGAAAGCTTGTTCTAAGGTAACAAAAACAGAACTATTCTTATTTTCAAGTCATTATACACAATAAAAAACAATTAATTCATATAATATTGAATTTCTGCCAATAGATCCTCCTAAATGTTACACACTGGAAGTAATAAGGTGGCTGCTATAGGTTAACAAGACACTAGGGAGGCGACAAGAGTCATTAAAAAGTATATATCAAAAACTGTTATACAAAGAAATATACAGGCTATAATGATTGGATGTTAGATCCAGCAGTTTAAAAGCTTGTGTCAGATGAGGGACTTCTGGGAAATGCTAAGAAAGACAGGATAATCCGTCCTCTGCTCCATCAATTTGCACCATTTCTTTGCAGTCTGTCTCCTTTTAAGACAGATTAGAAACCAACTGTAATTGAAGTGCGATGCTAAATTGCTGTAATAACCTCGACTTCCACTTTATTATCCTCCACTCATTATCACAACCATATCTCACCCAACTAACAAAGGTATATTCTCAAAAAGAACTGCTTTAAAAAAAAAAGAGAGATAGACGATGCATCATCCGACCTTGCCTTCTTAGCCTTTTTGTCTATCGCTCTTCCTCTCTTGCTCCCAGTTCTCAATATACAGCAATTACAGTGCTCACACTGGCTCTGAGAATATTTAGTGGCTCAGCAGGCTGAGTTATGCTTTGCTAACACATTTACACACACCCTTTTTCTTTAATACCAGTGACAGAATGAAGCTGTAACATCACTCATTCAGCCAAATGATAGATGACAGAGAGACAGCCACATATTAGCGTGTCACTGCAACAGTCAGCTTCTTTGGCCAATGGATGAGGGAAATGTTATTATTATTTTGTCTCTTGTGATTAGATACAGACTTCATTCGTTAGGAAAATTATTTTGATGATGTTCTCATCATGAGTATCTTTGTTAAGTGATGTTCTCAGCAATCAGTTTCAGTGGGGTTTATATTTCAGTCGTTTCCTTGGTAACTCTCTTCCAAAAAGATGAGGTTCACATGTCGTCAGGGTGACTGTATTCCCCGGAGGCAGAGACTGATAATGATTGCCCCTTAAAAACAACAAAGTTGTGAAAGAAGTGTAAGTACACTTGAGTTTATTAAAAATTCATTCTTATACACACACTGGGAGCCAGAAAAAAGTGCACACACACGCACGCAGACACACACACAAAAGCGTACAAAGATTACGTACAAAGAATCAGTTACAAACAGAAGACTGACCTCAGATTCGGGTTCATTTTTTATTCTGAGATTTCCAACGGCTTGGTTCCAAGGGACTACACACTTTCAAATTGGCCTACAAAGCCTTGCCATGAGAATGAATTGTTAATGTGTGTGTTTTTGTGTGTTTCAGGCTCCACTGTGTATACCTGCATGCTGAATAAGAGAGGAGGGGCGGAGGCTGACCTGACAGTGAGCAGACTGGAGCCTGGTTCTGCCAACCTGCCCCTGGCACCGGAGTCCAATGGTGAGAAACAAACAGAGAAAGAGTGTGTGTGTGTGTGTGTGTGTGTGTGTGTGTTGTTTTCATAATTATCTGATATACTGTTATATCTATTTATTATTCTATCAGTTATCATTTTAACTGTGTAACTGTAATTCTGTTATATTTTATTTGGATTTATTGTTGTTTTTCTCCATTCTGTTTATTGTTCTGTCTTCCAGTCTATCTGTCAATACTCTATTGTATTCATCGTTATATTCTTCCATTATTATTCTGTTCATTCTGTTGTTCTCCTCCTATCGTCATTCTATGTTTGAACTCTATCTTTCAACTTCAATCACTCATCTTATCGCTCTACTGTATGCATGTATTTGTTTGCTTGTTATCGTTTGCCATTCAGTCATTTTACGTACTTTTATGCACATATCTTCATCCACCAGCTTTTCCATATTTACCATCTTCAACATGCCTAAAAAAGAACCAAACAAGTGAACCCAAAGAAATTTACAATAAGCCGGCTGAAATTTTGCAGCATTTTTATTTACACACGGAAAAGTTGGTGCATCAAAATTCAGATGACATCCAGAGAAGCCTTCATTTCACTGGAAAGCCCCAAAAATATTGAATAAAAGCAGGTGTGTTGGGAATGTTGTCCAGATGGGGTAGGGGACCTTGAATGTCACCCCCAGGATACACACAGAGCAGATTTATCCATCCATCTTAGATGGAAAGTAGCAATTAAATGCCATAACGTGAAAAAGTTTGTGGTTCTCAATTAATTATGCAATCTTTTCAAAAATATGCTTAAAACTTGCAACTCATTTGGAAGTACGTAACCTCTGTCACTCATTCTATGTTTTGTTATATTTTGATGTAGTTATCAGTTTAGGTCTGTTGTTGTCTGTCAGTTGTTGTATTTGTCTGATGCTCCATCTGTCCTTGCTTCTGTCATACTCACCCTTATCACGGTTTGTTTCTCTTTCCCACCCGCGATCCCTCAAGGTGAAGCATACTACCTGGCCATCGGAGGGGGTGTTGCCGAACACAACTGGAACCACATTAGAACGGTTCTTCAGGACCAAGGCTTCCGCTGCCAGCTGACAGACTACTCTGAGGACATGGGGATGATCAGCATCCAGGGACCCAAGAGGTGAGCAAAGAAAGGAAGGGAAAGGAGGGAGAGGGAGGGAGAGAGGGGGGGGTGGCTTGTGATGATTTATATGTCCAGGTGAAAAAAGGACAAAAGGAGTGAGTCAGGACAAAGAGCAATGGAGAGGAGAGAGAAGAAAAGAAGAAGGTAACTGATTGGTCTAAAGATGGGTTATGATTCACATCCTGGACAAAGAAGGTGGGGAAACTGAAGAGACGAGCTGTGGGATCGATAAGAGGAGAGCAGGTTAAGAGCCCATTCTCAGGACTTGGCCATAGGCATTAGAGGTGAGTGAATGCAGTCAAGGAGTTGGTATGAAAACAGGAGACAGAAGCAGAGAGGTTCAAGGGTAATTTTGCAATTTAATGTAGCCATCGGCTGTTTCATGACGCTATAAAGTAAATTCAAATCTATTTTTCATCGGAGTGAGCGATAATGATGAAGATTACTCAGAGCTGTTGCGCTCTCAGTCTCAACAATGTTTTCCACCTAGGGTTAGAGGTCCATGGGTTTAAAACCCTTAATTATATATTGATATTTAAAAACATATGAAGACTCATGGAAGCAAGAAAAACTGAATTCAAGCCCGAATGGACCCGAATGTGAATCCAAATGAACCTACAGTCGAATGGATTCAACCACAGAATGAATTAAGACTAACAGGGTAGCTCTGAGGCTAGTGTTGGTCTGTCAGTCAGTCCAATTTGGTCTATCCATGGTCCCCAGAGGGTGATTCCTACTGACTTTGGTGTTTCTCTTTTACTCTAGCACCACTAGTAGGTGAAGGTGTTCATTTATTCACTAGGAACATCATGATCAAATATTTTAGGCTACGATCCCAAACCCAGTGTTGATTGACTATGTATCTGACACACTGAAATAACAACTGCAGCCTTCTAAATTTGGCCTATTTTATTTTCCATGAGCTATTTGATCCAAGTACTGAAGGTCCGATTCAAAGCTATTAGGTTTATAAGCTTGAATTATTAATATGATATAAATTAAAGTTTAACTGGAGAATGCAAGGACTGAACTTCATGTTAGGCAGTCAGCCAAAGTAAAGTCTTCATGCTCTGTTGCTTTGTGGGAACCGCAGAAACACTTGCAATCTTTGGGTGATCACTTTAAACAACAGAAATGTTTAATTTTGGCCTGCCATTCATTTAGCAACAGCTCATATGACTTGCTGCAAGCTACCTTTGTCATTTTAACCTGTGAAATCGCCAGTCAGCGCCAGCTAAAAATGAGAAGATGCTACTTGAATGTTTTGTCTGCTGCTGTTTTTTAGTAAGAGAGACAGAGAGAGGAGACACACCAGATTTGTTGGTGTGTAGTGGACCGTAGTTGACCGGATCTGCCTCAGATGATACGTTTCCAAAGTTTGGCTCCAGGCAGCTCTGATTTCTCTAATTTAATTAACATCAACTTGGTGTATTATAATACAGATATACAGATATTTTGTACACAAGTTCATGTTTTACAGACAATGAATCCTGCTGACTCTGTTGATCCTGCTACTGTTCCTCCAACAACACCATGAGCTTCACATTTGTGGTTTTGAGTAAAATGTGTAGACGACAATTGAATGGATTGCCATGAAAGTTGTTACAGACAACTTTGGGGATCCCTAAACTTTCCATTTGTCCAATACTTTATGAGCAAATACCTGCAAAAGAAATGACATTACCATCAGCTTTAGCTGTAACCTAGGTGTTTTGTTATAACTCATCATAATGTAAAACCTGTAGAATTACCATCGCATTGATACAGAACGGTTAGAGGATAATTAGAACCTCATAGTAGATACTGGTGTTAAATCCAAGGCTTCTCGACTGTAAACTTTGCTCCTCTCAGTCTCAAAGCTCAACATGATATTACAGTCTAGATTGTTGCATTGAATTTCTGTATATTTCCTGTAGAATCATATTTCTTCACCTGTAGCCTCTGCCATGATGACTCCCCAGTGTAAACACTGCAGTGATGACTTTCAAGGACTAAATGTCAAAGCAGATATACTATATTTATATTAGGTCTCATGAAGTTATACAGCTAAGCAGGGATCTAAATTTACAGATTTCAAACTGCAGTACCTCTGGTCCTGTTGTTGTTGTTGTTGTTGTTGTTATTATTATTATTATGATTATTATTATTGTTATTATTATTAGTTTTGCGATTCCCGAAATGACTGTAACTGAAACCTAAACTGAAAATGTCACAGTTTTCCTTTTTTTTATCCTTCATCCATTTCGCCCTTCATGCACTGATTTCTTCTTCTAAGGATGAGAAATCGTGTAGTATACAGGTGAAAATGGAGCAGCACATTCGGACATGGGATGTAGTCCAAGCTTGTCACTTTCTTCTTGCCTTCCTACAGCTTTCCTATTGTTCTTCACTCAAAGAGCAAGCTGGGCCACCTTTACCTCTTACCGATCTCATTCTGTGAACTCCACATCTATCTTTTCTTCCCCTCTCACCTCCTCTCCTCCCCACCTCGCCGCTCTCCGTCTTTGTTCTTCCTTCTTACCCTCAGCAGGGTTAGGCCACTCTGTGTGGGCTATGTCGATTTCTTCTCCTTGAGGCTTTTCTCATCTTCTGTTCTCCTAAGTTTTTTTTCTCTCTCTCTGTGTCTGTGTTAGATCTTATCTAGCTCTTTCTCACTCTCTCCTCCCCAGTCCTGTCTTTTTACTCAATTGCCTATTCTCAGTTTCCTCTTCCCTTTTTCAGATTGTTTCTATCCCTCTCGCTTTTATTGCTTACGTCAAACCAGAAATCAGTGCGTCACTAGCAGCAGTAGCCCAATATATGTGTGTTTCATTATAGATTACACACACACACAGGCAAACGCAATAGGATGTTGATTACGGAGCTCATTGAGTTTTCTTGAAAAGCCCACTCAGCTTGTGAGTGCCTGTTTGCATCTGTGGATGTTTCCTCGTGTGTGTGTATGTGTGTTGATAATATAAACAAGATTGGCATCTGCATCGCCTTTGTCTGCAAAACGCTGTAATGATCCTCAGCTCCTCCTCATTGTTTCTGCCACATATGAGGAATTGCAGGAGATCGACCCTCCAGTGTTTTGGGTTTTGTTTTCTTACAGAGCAAATTGATCTCTTTAAAGCTTGAGGAGAGAGAAAATTAGAAGCGTTTACGGAAATGTGTTTGTCTCTGGTTTTTCTCTCCCAGAGATGTCTCATTTCAATCCCCTGGGATGGGGGAGTCTGTGAACTTGCAGCTTTTTTTCCTGCACAGCTTGGCAGGGCGCTCCAAAGGGTGAAACTGGTGCTCTGTTGTCTGCTTTATAATTATGGACCGTATTTATAATATATGAAATTATGTGATATCCTGTGAGAGAGAGCTCTGTGTGTGTGTGTGTGTGTGTGTGTGTGTGTGTGTGTGTGTGTGTGTGTGTGTGTGTGTATAGTATGCATCCTCTGATCCACAGCTGAGAGCCACAGTTAAGTGGCAAGTCAGAGAAACAAATTGGTGGTTGCAAGACTCCCTCACCACACACACACACACACACACACACACACACACACACACACAGAGCCATTCACTGATTATATATAGCTAATTGGCCTTGCTTTTGGGCCCTTGAGTTCAGTGAACAAAGCGTTGCTTAAAGGAGGACAGCCTGAAGGAAATATCAGCCTGTGCATCGTGCTCGGACATACATGCATGCCTGCACACAAGAAATGTTTTATTCACATATGAGCATCCACACATTTCTACATCCAACTATGACAACCATTGCTTTTTAGAAAAAAGGACACCCACACAGATGCACAAACATGTACGGTACAAACAAATGTAACTTGGACCCTTCCCCAAATATCTTCAAACCCTGGCTTCCTGCCACACTGCTGCAAAAATATCCTCCTGAAAAGGCCTCTACCTGCCCACTCACATACATACAAGTAGCAAAGTAAGCTAAACTTAGTCCTTTTTTTCTGTTGACTCATTTTTATGTAATATAGATTTTTAGCATGTGTGAGTGTGTTTGTGGGAGAAGGAGAGATGGTTTTACAGCAAATATAACAGATACAGCTGTACTTGTGTTGTACATTTTTCTTTAAATATTTTAGATTTTGAAAAGAAATCTGATAATAGAGTATTAAAAAAAAGCATACAGATAGGGTGCCCTGGTGGCTCCCTGGAGCTGGCACCCAATGTACCAAGGCTGAGTCCTTGCTGCAGGGTTTGACTCCGACCCGTGGCCCTCTGCTATGTTATTGTCCCCACTCTCTCTCCCTCCTTTCCTGTCACTCTACAGCACTATTCATTAAAGGCAATAAAAAAAACTGAAAAAGTAGTATCTTTCACCACACCAGTTGCACATGTGCAAGTACAAAATATATTGACCGAGTTCTCTATTTATTACTTTTCTGTGTTTCCATTTTGCAGTCGAGAAGTACTTCAGGAGGTGCTGGAGGCAGACCTGAGCAATGAAGCTTTCCCTTTCTCTTCCCACAAAGTAGTCAAAGCAGCAGGGCATCAGGTGAGAACACACCACTCACACACACACTCAGTGACTGAACTCATTTCTACAGTAATTGGATGTTGTACATATGTCAGCTTCAAATAACCCTGTCAGTGCTAGTTAAAGCTGCAGTAGATAACTTATAAAAGTAACTTTTGGTCATAATTGCTGAAACTTTCACTAAATCCTGACAGTAGTACATGAGAGAGATGTATTCTGGCTTCTCCTAGTGCTTCACCGTGCCTGAACGAAAACAACCAATCAGAGCCAAGAAAGTTGTTTTGATTGCTGAGCCTCATTCCCAGGTCGTCATTACTGCCTCGAGGAAAGAGACTCAACAATCAACTATCTTCAAGCCATCAGCCCAAAGGGTGTTTCCCGTCTATGATTGGTTGTTTTCATTCAGGCCCGGTGGATTGTTGAAAATGCCATCAGGAGCACTGGGAGGAGCCAGAGAAGGCTGATTTTTTTCCACAGATTATCTGTCTCATGTACTACTGCCATATTTCAGCAAATATGACGGAATGTTTTTTTTTTTGTATAAAGTGTTACCTACTGCAGCTTTAAATAAAACAAAATCCTATGCAAATTGCATGCAGCGGTTTATTATTGTAAAGGTTCAGTCAACAGAGATTGTAAACTGTGTGTGTATGTGTGTGGGACAGATGGCATGTCTCAAGGCGTCCTTGTGACTTACTTAGATATCAAGTCTGTCTACATGTTTTGTATTTCTCTACCTTCTTCCTGCCTTCTATCTCTTTCTACTTATTCCCCTGAGGTCAAAGTTTATAGTGCAGTCGTTTACAAGCTCTGGGGAAATCATACATTTATATTCAGTTGTATGTTGTCGTTCAGTTTTCTCACAACAATGCTGTAAGGGTTATGTAGCCTCAGCCTCTCAGGTTGACCTCTACACTGTTGATGGCCTTGGATCAAAAAGAGCATGTTTTACCAGCACACGCAGCGACACATATGTCCACACACTCAAACACACACATACTCCCCCTGTCTTAGTTGCTCTTGCATGAATTATGCAACGCTCCGGTGATTGCAGTCGGCATCAGCTCTGCAGTAGGGTTTTTGTGCATGTGTGTGTGCATTGCTTGTGCTGTGTTCCAGCTGGTTGCCGGCCTTGTCTGGGTGACACTTTAATGGCTGCACTGCTGCGAGAACAGAGCTCTCTCTCTGCCCTCTGCTCCCCTCATAGCTCATTAGACTCTCTCCATCTCTCTCTCTTCCTAACCCTCCAGTTGAAGCAAGTGTGCTGGCATGCGTTAGGTCATATGAATTCATGTTTATATGCATTTCTGTACTCATGTCTGTGCTGTTTGTGTGTGTGTCTGTGTGTGTCTGTGTGTGTTGTGTGTGTGTGTGTGTGTGTGTGTGTGTGTGTGTGTGTCTGTCTGTCTGTCTGTCTGTCTGTCTGTCTGTCTGTCTGTCTGTCTGTCTGTCTGTGTCTGTCTGTGTGTCTGTGTCTGTGTTTGATGTTTGATGTTTGCCCGGTAAATGTATGAGTGACAATGTGCATGAGGCTTGCATGTGTTTCTGTGTGTTTGTTGCCTGCGTGTATCTGGTGGAGTGTGTGTTGTGAATAAGCACGGGCCTACATGTACTGTCCTCCCCAGAGTTTCATGGTGTACATATGGGGCCCAGGGTGATCCTTGGCTGGCCAGATGGCCTGGCTGTCACAGCACCCACTGGGGAAACTGTTGGATAGAGTTTTCTCTCCTCATTTTACACACCCTTCCATATTTTCTCACTCGCTCACTTTCCTTTTCCTTTACTCTTCAGCTTTCCCTCTTCTTTCACATATTGTATATTTTTGTGCATCTTAACCATGATATTTTGTCAACCTGGGTGTTATTCTCATATTTTTTCTATCATAACTGCCTGACTTGATGTTGCAAGCTGCATAGCATGGCAGTTACACTTCTTGTCTGCCATATTAATGTTCACACGTTGGTTTCTTAACGTTAGGTTGAGGCTGTAGCATGCTTGTGATTTAACTTCTACGCATCCTAGAGATGTAGGAGAAAACGGAGGAGGACAGTTTCTGGATTGCAAAAATAAAATGACAACATACACACTGTGCAGTTTTCATGGATTGCCACAATAAGAAATAGATTCTAGTTGCATGAATTGTTCAACAGCTGCTGAGTGGTTCAGTACAGCAGCTAAGGGGGTTTCCAGTGGACTACTTTCTGTGTTTACTTGCAGTTGGAAAAACACGTTTTTGTGACGATATCTGAGTTTTTCTTTTTTTTTTCCTTTGGAAAGCTGCGAGAGGCTGACACTCTTTGCCCCGCTCAACAACGTTCTCGCTGCTTTTTGTTTGTCATGTTTTCAAGTATTCATAAGGCAAAATAATAATTTTGAGAGTAACACCCAGCCTACCTTCTGTGCCTCAATTTGTTTTGTCTGTCATACATTTCACCTCTTTCTGCCTCTCAGGCCCAATCTCTACTTCTGTGCCCGGTTTCTTTATTCTGTTTCCTCTGTCACCTCAGTCCTTCCTTTATCTCCTTCCTGTCATTTCCACCTCCTAACCCCCAGAGGTATTTCTTTAATATCTTTCAAGACTTGAAGCATTTTGGACACAGTTTCTAAAGGGAGATTACAGCCTGTTTCCCTCTTTGTTCACCTTATCTTATCCTTACATCTATTCTATTTTAATTCTTTTCTGCTCCTTTCTGTGTTTGTGTGTGCTTTTGTGTGTGACTGAGCACAAGCAGAGGCATGGCAGCTTGGTCCTTTATATGCCTCTCTCCATCTCTCTAAGCCTCCTTTCTAACCCGCTCTCTTGTCCAGGTGCGAGCTATGCGTCTGTCATTTGTCGGAGAGCTCGGCTGGGAGCTGCACATTCCCAGAGACTCTTGCCTTCCAGTCTACCAGGCTGTCATGGCTGCTGGTGCAAAACACAGCATCATCAACTCAGGCTACAGGGCCATCGACTCACTCAGCATAGAGAAAGGTAACTTTTAATAATATGCCATCAATAACTAACCCTAACATACAAATCCAGATAGAGAGATAAAGATTGTATTTGTGAATAAAACAATTGCTACTGATCTTGTGGGTTTTTCACTTTTTTTTTTCATTGTTAATAAAAAAATATTGATTAGTAGAGCTTTAACCTTTTTCTTGAGCTATAGTTTTATAAAGAATACTTCACAGAATACCTTAAAAAAAAATTTTCGCACACATGTTCACCCTATCTTTCGGTGCTTCTCATTGCTAATGTCTTTGCTTTTCTCCTCCTCTCCTTTTCAGGGTACAGACATTGGCACGCTGACCTGCGCCCAGATGACACACCCTTGGAGGCTGGGCTAGCCTTCACATGCAAACTGAAGAGTTCGATCCCCTTCCAGGGCCGCGATCGGCTGGAGAAACAGAAGGAGGAGGGGCTGAGGAGGCGCATCGTCTGCTTCACCATTGATGAGTCAGTAAAAAGGCTGAGATTATATCCTAGTCAGAAAGACAACAGAAAATTCAAACATTGTTGGAAATTTTAGAAGACACAAAATAAAACTTCCTGTAGTGAACCTACTTATGCTTCCTCCTCAAATGGATTCTAAACTATAACCTAAAATCATTTAGAGAATACTCAGAGAAAAGTAGTCTTAATATTAATGCATTTACTCAATGTGCAGTGGGTAATAAGTGTATGGTTTGGATGCCTGAGCCCTGAGCACAGATATACTGTGTAACAGAATGGAGAAGCGGTTTATTGGAATATTACTTAATTTCCCTGCTGTGGATTTTCTTTTTGGGCATTTGTACATGATAGAGGGGTTTTTTTGTTTATACAGGCCCAAACTGAAACATGTTTCTGTCCTTTTCTATCTAAATTAAGTCAAATATTTCAAATCTTTTATAAGTTTCCAGACAGAAACATCTAAGGTGTAACTACTTTAACTCTTGGTTTGGTTATTATTAATGTTTAATCTTCAGCTGCAGAGATACATCCTCAAATGAGTTGAGGAAATTCTACAAACCTTACATGTATCAAATCAGTTCGTTAAGAGATGCAAGCACACAACAATAGCAGCAGTTTGCTATTATGACAGCATTGCTTTCTTTATGTGAAACTGATATTATCAGACTTGGCATATTGTGTTTGGGCCTGACAGCTGTGATTAGAGTGAATGTGTGTAGATGTGCATGTGTTTCTAAACTCATTAGACTAACACTCACACACACAAGATTCACCTGTGTATACAGTCAACAGACTTCTGTACATGTTACTGAGCACATGAACATATTTAATTAAATATGCTCTGCCTTCAAGACCATCTGAAATTAAATGAGTTGATTTTGTGAGTGTGCGAAATAAACAGGGTGTGTGTGGTGTTTGTTTGAATGTAATTAAACTCTTTTTTTCTCCCTCTCTCTCTCTCTCTACCAGGAAAGTACCGATGTTCGGTCTGGAGGCCATTTTCCGTAACGGCGTTCCCATTGGTCACCTGCGGCGTTCTGACTATGGCTTCTTTATTGACAAAACTATTGCTTATGGATATATCCGTAACCCCGATGGAGGAGTGGTAAAGACCTTAAACAACACAACACTTACACATATACCTACACAGTATCTCTATCATTACCTTCTGTGTTTAATATGTTTTCTGGGCTGTTGAATTTTTTGCCAATTTTTTCTGAAATCAAGAAATGTTGTGCCAGCATGCTGATATTAATCCCACTTATCCACAATTTTTCCGATATTAAGTAGAAATGTGCGTCAAAACAAGATTGAAAAAGGCAGATTCCTGCACAAGCATGAAGAGAACATCATAGTTACCTATGATTTTAAGGTTTGCTGACTCAATAATCGACCAGTTTGGTATTATTTTACATGTGGGTAGACATTATCATTTTAATTTTCCCTGAAACATTCAGCATAATGTATCATTTCTAGTGTTCGAAGACACCATCATATTCTGGGTTATTCAATAATGAATTAACAATCACAATATCAAAAAACAAAAAAGATGTAAATTCTGTAAAACTTCCTGTGCCTCTGAGCAGGATGTACTGAATCGCTCATTTAGTTCTTCTGAATCAGTGCGCATAAGTCCACTATACATTTCACAAAAATTATGTCCAGCAGTGTCAACCTTTCCAGGTAATTTCTTTATTTTGTGTTGTTTTGATGTATGGGGTTTTCTAATGAGTAGAGAGGCTGCTTTCTGTCATTTTTAAATATTTAAGCCGTTTTTAATGTCACTGGAGCAAATAAAATAGAGCAGCAAAACTAAACCCTGTAGTTAACTTGACAGGACAGAGGAAACTCCCCAGAGGAATCAGAGGATTTGTCAGGAGGACAGCTGCTTTACTCCAAACAATTTTACAGTATGAACCTGTTCTGTGTGTGTGTGTGTGTGTGTGTGTGTGTGTGTGTGTGTGTGGAGAGAGAACTTTTTCGATGTGTAGAAGAACATGGAACATGAATTAACATTAGATGCTGACCGATCCTGTCGGCATGTCGGGAGATTTAAATAATCAATGAAGTTATGCTCCTGTGCCTCCTGCGTAAATGCACACAGCCTCTCTTTAAATGGGGAGAAGCTTCACCCTATTTCACCCACCCTCAATCCATCCACTTTTAATCGTAATGTTATCCTAATATTTATATTTCTTCTAACTTAGCACAAATGTCCACTTGGAGTCAACGATCAACTGAATTGGTAGTCAAAGGTCACTGTGACCTCACAAAATGCATTTTTGGCCACAATATGGTAATAATGACAAAATATCCCACAGATATTTAATGTGATACTATGATAAAGTGATGATTTTTTACCCAGGTAAACGGTCAACGTCATTGTGATGTCATAATGTCCTGGAAAAACAGTTGTTGGCCATTATTCAACGCTATAACTCAGGAACAGGATGGGAAGATATAGACTTGGTGGAGAATAGGTTTCTAGCCATATTTTAAGAATAAATTGCGATTCCAGATTTAGCGCAAATGTTGACCGGGGCAACATAGTGAGTACAATAACAATACCATACAATACAATACTTTAACTCACTGCCTCATTCTGAATGTCCCGCCTCATTGGAATCACGTTACTGCAAACAATGCGCCTAACTAATTGTGATCCAGTGAGTGACTGAAACCAATTCAGTCTCAGTTTAACCTGCATCACATAGGGAGGCGTCACATCTAAAAATACCAGGAATTTACAAAAGCACCACATTTTGTATAGCTATACTCCACTCCATATAATAATCCATCTTTACATACTAATCAAATACATGTGTAACATATATTAACTGGAATAGTACATGGGCTCTATCTTGCACTCAGCGCAATTGACTTTGTACACTGGCGCTTGTATAATTCCTATTTTGCACTCGACGCACATTGGAATTAGCGCACGTCCTTAAATTAGGGAATGAATTTGCGCTCCGGGGGGCGGTTCAGCGAAAAGAGGAGGCGTGTTCCGGCGCAAACATTCCCTGGTGCTATTTTGCTGTTTCAGAAAACAATTCCGCCACCACAACCTAGTCTAAAGTCAGTGGCGCTTATTCAGATGCTATTTTAAGGGCGCAGACTTGAGGGGATGCGCCTGAGAGGCAGCAGCAACATCATCACCCAGTCAAGACGGGCATTAATACTTTGCCGCATCCCGGACAGCTCCCGCTCCAGCATGTCAAACCCGGTTTGCTGCAGGAACGGGTGGTCCTCCGGCGTGTAGTGGGTCTGGATCCTCTGCACCTTGGTGTTTGTGCTGCTCCCTCCTCAGCTGGCCCTTGCGCACTGCTCCCGAGGCCTTCTTCCTGCGAAGCTGCGTTACATTGTTTGAATTTATTGTATGGCTGTGTCACATTTATTTCATGTCAATAATGTCACTTCTTGGTATTTTACGGCCCTGACGAGAACGTCGGTCTCCTCGGCTGTGAACCGCTCCTGGCGTGCGCCTGGCAAATCCGCCGTTATAATAGCAATCCGCCATGGAACAAGCACGCCTGATTTTAAAGGGAATGTGAGATGACGCTCTGATTGGTTTATTGCACGTTACGCCCAAACCACACCTATGACTAATGTAGCTGCTTCAGACCAACCCATTTTAGATTTGCGCTGGGCGCAAGAGTCATTTATCCCGCTGGCATAATAGCAACAGCGCCCGAGATCCGCCCACAAAGCTACTTGCGTTTTGCGTTTGATACTTGCGCTTCAGATCGGCAAGATAGGGCCCCATATGTATCATCAGTATAGTGATCACTTCCATTTTGCACTACCGTTTAATTAAATCCTTTCCAAGTATTCACTACATACATTATTATGGATGTAAACTGCAACTTGACTGGTTGGTGGAGGCATACAACCACGGGGTGGTAATTCTCCTTTACTAACTAAACCAAAAAAAGTGCTATATTTGTGTGGTTGTGTTTTTGCATACAAGAAGGGAGGTGCATCAGTCTCCTTTTTTTTTAGGTACTTATCAGGTCCCACTACTCACTTTACACTGAATAATATGTTTTTTGGTCCAGAATACAGTTTTTTGTGTGTGTTTCTCTCTTGATGATAATACAGCCAGCCCTTCACTATTAGTTCAAGTACTCAAAGACCTTAGACACTTTTTAGATTCTGAAAAATAGAACCATCCTTTTGTGATTTTGAGTGTTTAGGTCTGTATGTATGAGTGTGTGTTCAAGAGACACACAATGTGTGGATTTGTGTGTGGTAGTTTGTTAGTTTTGTGTTTGTGTGCTCATCTGTTTAATATCCTTCCGAGTCGTGACCGGCAAAACAAAGTGGATTGACCCTTTGTTCTGTCGGGGCACTTGAGTTTGGAAATGTACTCGCATGTGGACACGTACACAAAGACACACACACACACACACACACACACACACACGACACACACACATACACAGGTCTATGGGATCTTGTCTCCTGTCACACAGAATTACTGAGCACATCCTGTACAGCCACACCACTGGCTTCAGCAGAAATAAGTGTGAGTGAATGAGAAGTGTCTTCTCTCTTTTCCTTTCCTTCCTTCCGTCCCTTTTTTGTACCTTTCTCTTGTTTTTACACAGCATGTCCTGATTACATTTTTGAAAACGGCTTCAATTTTTTACTTCTGTTTCTATTTTCCATTCACCATTTCAATGTTCTGTGATAGATAGTGGTAAATAGGGAAGTAGGTACGCCATTAAAATATATCCCCCAATTTCATTGGCTGTCAAACTGAGTACTGTTCATGCATCAGTGGTATTTTGACAAGTAAGTGTACTTAGTGTTTCCTTAAATTCATTCCGGTTCACTCATTCACAGTGAAACTGCAGTTATTGTGTCTTCAACCTCTGTAATGTGACACAAATCCAAGTGACTTGGAATATATGGCCAGGGCATAAAGAGGGATTTTAGTCCGGTTCCTCATATTTGATTGGATCATTCAGAAGTGGATGTGGCTTGCTGTTAGCCTCCACTCGCCCCTCGCTTACATGTGATGTTAGATCAGGAAGTGAATTTAATAAATTTGAGCTTGACCGTGAATTTTTGACGTCCAAACACACACCTCCTATTATTATATTGCTCTGTTAGCTATAACCGCTGACACTATGGCGATCCAGTGCAGTTTTATATGATAGGCCGGTTAGCCAGTCACCCCAAATCACATTTGATTGGACACATTTATGTCCGCCCAAGAGTTTAATGAGTCATCAAAAATACTGTAATGTTTTACAGGAAGAGAAAAGATTCAGAGATGGAAAAATGCAAGAATGATTATTTTTATATATATTTGGCATTTGTAAAGAGATAACTGAACATTTAACACAGGTAAAGCACTTGGTTAATTATTCCATGTCACTGTGTCTTTAAGCTTTGGTTTAATCTAAAATTCTGATGTGTTCTTCTGTGTATTAGATTGTCCCTGGTATTTCATTGTGTTATTATAGGAACACTTGACTAAACCTTGGCATTTAGATACAAAACAAACTTAATTTCACCTTACATCATTTTGTATCTTAATAGAACACAGTGATAGTGGCAGCATGTTGTACGGTCGCTTTTAGAAAATCAGGGACAGAGAGGATTGAGGCAACACTGAATGCAGCCAAATTCAGGTCAATTATGGATCCATTTGTCGATTGATGTTGTAACTGGCCTTCGGTCTCAGATCATTGCAGTGTGTGTAATACTTGTCCATTCACACAGAGACAAGGGCATCAACGTCATTCCCGATGTACCTTTACTGGCTGTAGAGCTTTTAAACTGGAGTAAAGGCAGCTTTGTCCCTGAATAAGGTTATTAGTTTGATATAGCCTTTGACCACGATACTGTTCCCTCTAAAGCTTTCAACGTGGAAGTAGTAAAAACTAAGCAGTAATGAGAGTGGGCTCTGTGTGTGTGTGTGTGTGTGTGTGTGTGTGTGTGTGTGTGTGTGTGTGTGTGTGTGTGTGTGTGTGTGTGTGTGTGTGTGTGTGTGTGTGTGTGTGTGTGTGTGAATGACATAGGGAAAGAGAGGCAGAGTGACAGATCAGTGGGAGAGCTGCAGGGAGGGAAAGGGGAGTCAGTCAGTGAAAATTAGCTCTCTGGGTTACGAGGGAGCTGACATTGACTCATGAGTGAATGAATTGCTTTCAGTGTTCTATAACTCCTGCGCCGTTCTCGTCTGTCAGATATGAACGCCGTGAAATTGACCGTTCTGGAGTGCTGTGCCAGTTGGGAACACTATTTTTACTAAGAGTGTGGATTAATTGGTCATCTCATTTTCACTTTCTGTTTGAATTTCCATCGTCTCCCAAAATTTTAATTCCCTTCCCTCTCCCTATTCTTGCTTATCTCCCTCTCTCATTTTCTTATTTTCACTCAATCTCTCTTTTCCTGTCTTTATCAGGTGAGTGCTGATTTCATAAAGAGTGGCGAGTTTACCCTGGAGAGGATGGGAGTGACGTACAAGGCCAAGGCCCACCTCAAATCTCCATTTGACCCTGAGAATAAACGCGTCAAAGGCATCTATGCTTGAGAAGGACCACACATGTAAAAACACTCTGTTCGGGGAATAAGGCAGAGAGGGGTGCAACTGTTTTTTGTTTTTTTTACATGCAGATGCAGCTGTTTTAGTCTTAACCTCTCTGTGGAATACTATGAATCTTAAATGTTGATAATTGTATTCATATTATATCTGTGATTTGATGGAAATGAAGGGGATGTGATGGAACACTTTAAAAGCCTTAGATGGTGTAAAATCTGTATGGACATATCGAAGAGGTGTCAATTAAAATATTTTGTTGTTAAACTCGACATGTTTATATCCACTCTGGGTTTGAGAGTAATCATGTGAATAGTATTACTCTGAAGACACATTGAAGAGGTAAACCCATCTCATTATCTCCATTCATCATCCAGCTAACTTTGAATGAGCCTGCACCTTTCCTGGACTGATCTTAAGGACTCAAATAACAATTTTAGAAACAGAAGCTGAACTGAACAACATGTGTTCATGTCAAACAATCACCAGTCAAATCAAGCTTTACAATGGGGCCTTAATATGTCCATGTCACCGTCTTCAGGCAGTGAGGTTGCATGTATGATTGCTAAGCCTCCACTGAAAACGGTGCTAAGCCTTAACACTAGACAACTCGGCACGTCTTAATCTATTTTTATAAAGAACTATCAGCTAAGCAGTGAACCTGTGGGGACAGTATTATAGGTGTGATGGCAGTGTATTATATGGAGCACATACAGATGTTGCCTTTGGAAGCAAAATATTAAAAATAGGGCCAAAAGCAACAGCTACAGATGCACAAGTGTGTAACTTAAATACCATAAATTCTCAATTAGTGACCAGGGCCCTTGTGCATTTCAGTTAAAGAGAAAACTACTGCAGACCCTTATTAGAAATAGGCTAATATTAGAGTCAAACCATTCATTCTAATTTTGGCTTTTTAGTGCACAATATTAAATTATATTGTACTGCTGTAATATTTCATTTCCAATGTATCCTACGAGTCCTGTATTAGGGAATAAAAGTATTGTCAGACTATAGACTGACCCTTCAGGCAGTTTGAGTCAGTTTGCAGATGACTGATGTTTGTGCTGATAACAATGACTAAACACAGAGTTTTACTTGCTTGTATGGTATCTAAATCTTAGGCAGACAGCCCGAGTGTTTATCAGAGTTGAATGGAAAGTGAGAAGAAAACATCCAGAGGCACAGCGTACCAGCTGGGGACAAAACACTGCTGAAGAAATATGACAGAAAGAGACAAGAGTTATCAGAAAGCAGCTGTTACAGATGGACCTGCCTTGTTTTCTGATCCGTCCCCTCCGTTACTGTGCTCCACGGCGATAAACTATCGCTGCTGTTTGCAAACTCAATTCTCTTCGTTAAGTTTTTTAATAGATGCATTGTCATATAATAAGGCAATCTAGCAATCCAGACAAGAAGAGCTCTTGTTTTGTATTGCCTTGCTGTTAAATCAAACTCAACAGCATTTTGTGCGTCTGCTTTACAGTTAAGCCCTCCCAGTAGTTCAGAAGGCATAATCACTTCTTTTTACCGTGAAGCTCCCTCAGGAGGGGTTAAGCAACAGCTCACTGAAAAACATCTTGACTCATTAATTAAAGGTCCAGTGTGTAGAATTTAGTGGCCTCTGTTGGTGTTGTTGCAAACACACCCTCACCTCACCCTCCTCATCCAAGTGTGTAGGAGAAACTATGGTGGCTGCAAAATTTGTGGAAGACACAAAGGGCCCCATCTAGAGCCGGTGTTTGGTTGGTCTGTCCTGGACTACTGTACTATCATGGCGCCTCAACATGGCAGGCTCTGGAAAAGGACTGGCTCTCTCTGTAGATAAAAACGGCTTATTCAAAGGTAACCGTTTTTCAGGTGATTATAAAACATCTATGAAATGTTATATTCCATTTCTGCCCAAAGACCTTTAATTCTTTCAATTCAAAATGTGAACTTACAGTATTATAGCAGAGAGTGGCAGGGCTGTATTGTAGCACTTGTGTAATTAAATGTAAATTATTGTGAATCAGTTACCTAAGTTCTCATAGGTTCTTTAGGATAGGTCTTAATTTGAAAATGTATACACATATCACATATTTAAAGTTCCAGTGTGTAACATTTAGGAGACTATTGGCAGAAATGGAATATAATATCCATAGGTATGTTTTCATTAGTATATAGCGACCTGAATGTAGGAATTGTTATCTTTTTGTTGCCTCAGAATGAGCTGCTTACATTTACAGATGCCGCAGGTCACCGTAGTTTGTCCTTCACCCTTGGAAAAGTAGGATGAAGCGAGGGAGTTGTGATATGCAATTCCACTACTAGATGCCACTAAATTCTACACACTGACCCTTAATGCAGGTTTGCGCAGTAATTGAAGATATTTTGTTAAGTCTTTGTGTTAGTGTCTACAAACTAACTACACAATGTAGTTGCGTACTTTTTGTTTTCGTACCTAACATGGAATTAAATTGTTAATTTTATTTTCCGTCTAATTTTACATCCACTTAACACAGTTAAGGCCAAACAAAAAGTAGATCTCACACACACACACACACACACACACTCTGTGAACAGCAGTCAATAAAGTGTGGAAGCAGAAGAAGGCATTTGTATGTATTAGCTACTTCTTGCCTCTCAGATGTGTGTTGCTGCACGTTCAGCACAAAATGTTTACTAATGTGGAATGATTCATTGATTCTGCCCAGAAGACCATTAATCATTGAAATGGTTGTTCTCAGGAGGGACTTAGGTTAATAACAAGATTTATATGGGAAATGTGAAACAGACTGATAAAACACTATCACTACAGGTCCTCTTCCACAATATGTCCAGAGGTTGGTTTTTTTCCCCTTCTAATTCAGTTTATACAATTTATCTTCCGTCCATAGTGTAATGTGAATATTGCTGAAGTCTTGATAATAGAAAGCAGGCGAAGTATAAATTCTTTTAAATATGGTTCTTAAACGTATTATTACCTCCGCCAAGGAGATTATGTTTCAGTGCCATTTGTTTGTCAACAGGATTAGGGAAGAACTGTTGGCCTGATTTTCATGAAACCTGTTGGAAGGGTGTAGAATGGGCCAAAGGAAGGACCCACATTTTTACACAACATGCAACCAAACATAACCTCCACCTCAGACATCGCTGTAGAAACATGGCGCATGTCTTTGCTCTCTAAGAGCTCTTTTAGTTCTTGTTGTTATTAATGTCTTAAGACATTTAAATGACCAGGGGAAGGATATGTACTAATGACTCTGTCCTAAGCAATTTGTGTATTAATAAATTCCTTTTTAACTGCCAACATTTTTGTGACATTTATTATTTAACACAAAAAAATGCAAAGGCACACAGGGGCATGCAGGAAAAGAGAGTGAAAATGATAGTGGTAAACTGTAAATGTGGCAAATAAAAATGTAAGTAATTTCATATTGCGTTGTAATTTTTTATTTTTTATTGTGATTACCACTGAAGTTATTCATTATAGAACATTTTTAATTACAGAGTGCAGTTATTTACCAAATAATGCTTCAAGTCTTAATGATGCTTGTTAGTTGTTATCTGATCATCATGGGGAATAAAATGGAACAGGATAAATATGAAGGAGTAATAAAATCCCATTAATTAAAGTAACGTAGCAGAAGTTAATGGCCAACAGCTTTGCTTCACAAGACTTTGCTCCCCAGCACCAATTTGTTAGCCGCAGTTGTTTGTTAAATGTCAATCCTACTTCCCAGTATCAGAAATAATGCCCTGGTGCAATGCTTTGCAAAATGACATATTAATAGGATTATCATTAATGTGTGCATACTAATAATATCAGTCAGTGGATGTTTAAATAAGCATATAATTACAGCGGGTGTCAGAAAACCCATTTGAGGACGTCATCTATCCTCCAAACAGCTCAAATTACGTAAAGTCACATGGGCCTCTTTAACTTTCCCCAGCTTAGGTGTCCTCTTCCTGGGCTGAAGCGTGCTCAGACGGTGGGTGTAAGGGGTCGGCTGGTTGGAAGAGCTCCCTCACAGGGGTAGCGTGGTTTTTCAAGGGTGGAGGTAACCACTGGTACAGGTTGTTTGTCCCACTCTCCCTGGAGAAAGAGATAAATGATGTAGGTGATGGGTTGTTTAGCAAAAAATGTGAAGTGTCCTTGATATTTGGACAGCAGGCTTTATTAGGTAACTGCGCAGTTGTCACTGTGCGATGTATCAAACATGGTTCCTCTTCAAAAATGACACTCAATGGCATTTTTTTTGTGGTCTTGAGTGTATTTTAGTTGGACAGCTTTAAGACTGTGAAAAGGTTGTTTCCTTCCCTTTTCACAAGGTCCAGTTCCCTAACATCACAGTCGCAGTGTTTTTATGTGAAATGATTATGAGTGTTTTGCCAGTTAATCTGTCAAAAATCATTTTTTTCTTGTGATGTCGTTGCCGATCATCTCTCCATTCACTGAAAGTGTGCATCAAGGGGCATTGAAGCAGTGGGCGACTGGAAGCTGTCAAGTGATTTTAGAAAGGGTAAAACTGTTCTTGGTGTATCTGTGTGTGTCTGTACATTTAAATGTCAGAAATAACTGAGAAATGATTGTTTTCTATGTCATTGCGTATTCATTGAAAGCTTTGGACCTGTGTAGCTCACCCAAAGTTTGCCTGAGCAGATGCTAGGTTGCGGTTAGGTGAGGTGGAGAGGGTATAATGTAAAGTAAATGTCTGCAGTAAGAGAGTAAAAGGCTTTGATTTCTCAAATGTTGATTTCAGCAGAAGTTTTTTGATTGCATGAGCTCCTGCCTACAGTTGGAGTGCTGTGCATCATTCCTTGCAGCTTTCTACTGCCAAACTAAATCTGCTGTCCTTTCTGTGGAGTATCGACACTACAAAGACTAAAACTGTGAAAGCCTGGCTATGAGTTTGACTGCTGAATTACTCTGAGATTATTTCATGCTTGATGTCTTCACCCAAAATATCTTGAAAGCAGTTGTAGCCAAAGTCTTTCAACTGCCTTCCAGCAGTGGCACCATTAATGGAATGCATGCATGTTTGTGAAAAAGACCACCCCTTGTGGCTGAAGTTAATGAAATAAATGAATAAAAATGCTCTTGAAAGCATCTTCATTTATGTATGAATTAAGCAGTATGCATACTTTCATGAACCTCATCCTGATGCTTTAAATTACTCGCTGGTTTCCATACAGATCAGCTGTCTAGTACTTCATCCAAACACTGGAATCTCTTTTATGTAGGTGTATTTTTCCTTGTTTGCACTTGCACAACTGATGTTACACATCAAGGAGCAAGCTTGACCAAAAAAAAAAACTTGATCAAGGCCTGCACACAGTTTTGAACTGTAATTGATTTATTCACTCTGATCCAAACATCTTGTGTGCGTGTCTGTGTTTGTATTACAAGTTAACAAGCTGTCCGTTCAGCTGGTCTGACTATGCTGTCCAACTGATGTCTGCCATTGAACTGGTTTAATTGGCGGCTTGACAGACGACTGTAGCGTGTGTGTGTGTGTGTGTGTGTGTGTGTGTGTGTGTGTGATGTGTGTGTGATTGGGGACTTACAGGAAAGAGGCTTGCAGTGGACTGGTTGCAGTGCATGGACATGGGGGCTGTATTATAAAGGGAGTCCAGCACTTCTCCAGTGAATGCGTCCCACTGTAGCTGAGAATACTGCTCCGTCACACTAACCTCACCACACACACACTGGTCATTTCCATGGAACCTGGAGGGAGGAGGGAGAGAGAGGTTGAAGGAAAGTCGATAATAGAGGGAGGCAGAGTGAGATTGAGAAAGGTGGAAGAGATTGAAAAAAAAGCAGCTCGAATTGGCATTAGGAGAACACAGTTTCACTTTAAAGGACAAAGCATCTGGTTTTCGAGATTAAAAGAAGTAATCACTGTGGTTCCCCGGGAGCGAAGGGTGTAGGGGGAAGGGATGAATGCTGAAACCAAAAATTGCTTAGTCACACGGGAGATGGAGGGGAAGATGCAAAATGAAAAAGATAGAATGAAGGACAAGGGGAACAAGCAAACGATTTGAGGGAGAGAGTTTGTGTGTGTGCTACCTGTTAATGATGTTAAAGAATTTCTGGAGGTATCCTGGGTCAACATGGGTCTTGCAGAGCTCCAGCTTAGTTCGAGGGTAGTAGTGAATATAATTAACACACATTTCCTCCATGATGCCAAAACCTCCCTGAGGACACACAAAGATTTAGATGGAGATGGGGAGAAAGGCGTAGATATATAGTACAAAGAGCAGATGTAGGTATTAGGGTGGGAGAGATGGATGGATTAAGAGACTTAGGGAAATATGTTGAGATTGAAGGAGATAGATGGAGGCAATACTCAACATTCTGTTGCTGCTGACAGTGCTCAAGGTGAACTTTAGCAAATATAAAAATAGTCTTGCATATTGATAGTGTGCTGCTCACCACGGTAGGCTTGGTCCTATCTTCTGTGTTATAAGTGCACTTTGTTATGAGGACATCGCCCTGCAGGATCAAGCACAAACAAACGAGCAGTTCACCTTATTTCACGTTTAACAAAACAGTACCGAAGATGATTCAAGGTAATTGACGGAAAATTAGTTATTTAAAAGAGCCAGTTGTGTGTCGAACAGAATTCTGCTTTGTGATGCTCAGCTGCGGTTGTGTCTCATCTGTCTCTCGAGAACTTCCTATGACAGCACTGATTTTACAGCTTGTCCCTATTTGCACCCCGTTTAAGCACCTTATGCAGCAGCAAGGTATTTTAATTCAATACTTTAAATGCAAAGGGTGGGAAAAAAAATACATCTGGGGCACCACCATTCAGAAATAGTTGGCTGAGCATGCAGAATAGTAAAATTCACATTCTTGTCTGAATGTAAAATCTGCACAGTGGAAAACTAAACCACTGCCTTTGTTTGGTCATTTCAAATGCAGGCATGATGATCGACTTCATACTTACCGGTAAAACATTCACCATTTTCCTCAGAACACGGATTGTCTATAAGTATGAAGAGAAAAACAAATACAATATGACAATATGATAAACATTCATTTTCATTCATTTTCCTCTTGGCTGCAATCTGATTACAATGATGGTTTCTCCATTTCCAAAACACAGACAATGATTTCAGTGGATTGAACAGGGCTTTGCTTAAGGTTTTCTTCCCTCTCTAGCATCTTATTTTGGGCACAATTAGACTTTGTGTACAGTAGATTTATTTCAAACACAGTAAGATAAAACACTGGTTGCTTTTGATTCTTTCCTTGGAGACAGCTTTTTATACTTAACTACCTTTGTATGTGTGTGTGTGTGTGTGTGTGTGTGTGTGTGTGTGTGTGTGTGTGTGTGTGTGTGTGGAGAAAAGGTCTATTAGCTTTGCTGAGACTGCTTTGATAAAGCCTTCATATGCCTAATGAGGCTGCAGGGTTTGAAACAACACCGCCACACAGGTACACTCAGATTAGTCTGACATCAACAGCAGCTGGAGATTTTATCAGGCAGTCTAGCAGATGTCCCTCCCAGCTCTGTGTCTGTGTGTGTGTGTGTGTGTGTGTGTGTGTGTGTGTGTGTGTGTGTGTGTGTGTGTGTGTGTGTGTGTGTGCATACCTGCCTCAGGATATTGTGCATAAAAAAACATATGTCATCTGCTGTCTCCCCACAATGTTAATGTTGTTGTTTGTCAGTTTTGATGTTGAGTTGATGGTCAGTGTTACACCTTATGAGGCCTAAATTCACATCATGACTGATGTGACTGTGAGAGCTTATAACAGAATGGTTATTGCAGTCTGTAAAATACTGACAGCAAATTGCACAAGAGCTCTGTATTTGTATTATCATCACTTGATAATAAGGTCATGTGCAAGTTTTATTAAAATCACAAATTTATGCAACTGTGTAGCCAGAACCTGAGAGGCTCACTCTGTGCTATAGAGCTCCATTGTTACAAACATAAGCACTGTCATTTGTTTTAAGATACAAGCTAGAGCATCACAAGTGTATTAATCCACTGCTGAAAATAGTCCCCAACAAATGTACTATTTACTCCTATTTCAGTAATGTTTGCTAAAAATGGGAATTGCTAAACCTTTTCTCAAAGGATTAAACTCCTTTAATATCTGTCTTTTTGTGACTTGTGTAGCATCCTTTCTTTGACCTACAACTTCTGTAGCTAAGAATAAGTGCAAAGCAGATTTTAAGTAATAGACAAAGCCATTCTCTTTGCACAGATAAATATCACATAGCTGTTATTTAACACAAATAATTTTTAAATTCCTTGTCTGCAACAAGTACTCAGTGGACCTTTAAGCATTGCTTGTTATAAAACCTATGTATAAAAGGGTCACCCACTGCAACATTAAAGACTAATTCTAAGGCTTTATTGTAATGAGGTGGCAGGTTTTTATTTGAAAGTGTGCAGTAGAACAAGTCAGTAGAAACAGCTTCAGTCTTCATTTCTCAGTTATTTGTGGAGGATGATCTTTGTCCCAGTGGCACACAGCTCAATGTGATGTGAGGTAAAACTCACTTTTATCCAATTTAATACAGTGTAAGATAAAATGCACAATGGTGGATGCAGTTCCTCTGGGTGAACTGAGCCCTGCTGTTGCTCACCTGGTAGTGTGTACTGAAGTGCTGGTCCTCCTGTACCACCTCCAGCTCTTTGCCTCCCCTCACCAAAACTGTCCTCACCCCACGACCCGCCAGGTGGGTGTGCAGCTGGGAAGCAAATATATAGATTCCACCTGGAGGCAAAGCCTAGATAGACAAATGGGTGGATCGACGGAGAAACAGACATTTTAAGGTCTCCAACCAAGATTTGTGTGCTTTAGGGACCAAAACTTTAAGAAATATGTGGCACAGCAGCTGTAATATACACCCAGCCTTTCGAACATTTGAACCATAAATAATGCAGAAAATGAAGGATTTCTTTTTGTATACACACAGTCTGGGTACACTTGGAGGTGCAATATCCACTGAGGTAGAAGGTGTGTTGTTTGGGTGGGATAGCCATGATAGGAGTATAAACAAGGCCCAACTCCATGATCCCTGCATCATACTGCCTCAAACTAGGGGTGTAATGCAACCGTATCCCTGATGCATCACGGCGGCCTGCAAGAAGAATATCATGGAACATTGAAATATGTCAAATACTGTCAGTTTACCAGTAGATCCTATTAAAATAACTAGAATTAATTTGCACTCAACCAGGCTATGAAGTATGTATGAATGAATTAAAATAAATCATCTCTTCACTAGATACTGTTCATCTGTGGAGCAACAAATGTAAGACTTGAGAGGTGGATATGATAATACAATAGAAAGTTAGCAGAGAGATTATAATGTCACATAAAAAACCGAACAGGTGTAATGAGTATCTAATGTCTGCTCTCTGTGTGGTCCTGGTAAACAGACATGATGCTGCTGTACATTTTATTCTGTTCTGGAGATATTTCTGAGATTGGTTTAGAAACTCAAACCGAGAAGGTTCCCTGGTGGCCTTTGGGTTTGATTTGCAACATATCTCTCTACTTGCAACCTTCTAGATTAGAAGACTAATAAAGGCATTCAATGCCCCACACAGACTTTAAAAACAAATCAAATCAAGATCACTGAGCACACCAGTGTTGTTTTGGCTTGATAATTTGTTTCTAGCTTTGTTGACCTGCAGGAACGTTTCAAGGAAGAGATAAGATGGATCACACAATCACAACAGAAAAAAGTTATGAATTAGAAGATAGATATGTAGGATGTATGTGTATTGTGGGGTCAAATCAGGATAAAGGAAGACACACAGGCAAGATCAAAAGGTATACCTGGAAAATTTCAAATGAATCGCTCTGTTGAAGACTCATTGGAAGGGATATGGAGAATCCTGTTGCTTGTTTGTCTGTGTGTGTGTGTGTGTGTGTGTGTGTGTGTGTGTGTGTGTGTGTGTGTGTGTGTGTGTGTGTGTGTATAAGAAAAAGAAAAAAAAAGTATATGCTTTGGGTCAAGTGTGTGTGTTTATGTGTGCAGTGCATGTACCAGATATAAGGAGAGGGTTATGGTAATGGACCTCCAGACGGAGGAACCTTGAAGAACCTGGTCCGCCCATAGACAGCCCTGCATCAGGAGGATAGTAAAAAGCCTGCAAGCAAACACACACACATATTATTCATTATTCCTCTTCCTCTCAATTATGCACAGCTGCTTTGAAGTTGTAGAAAAAGACTCTTCTTCACACATCGTACAGATGATTTAGAGCTGTAGAGTAAAAAGTCAAAATACAGGTGTATTATGTTCCTGTATTATACTTATTATATATACTTATACTATTATACTAATACTATGAGACATTGTATTGGAGATAGAGGTAATATGAGCAAGGAAGATTTCCTTAAACAAAGTCACTTCTGTAGGTTGACATGCTGTAGTGAAAGGGACTTTAATCACACCTGGCCTTTCTGAAAAAGTTTTTTTTAGCATCCTTTTCTGCTCATTCACTTCAAGGCAGTCCCCCACCCTCTTTAAGAGGTAATCCCCTGTCTAAGGGGTATATCTAAGGAATCACAATTTATATCATTGCATCTTCTTCTCCATACTGCAGAGGTAATTTATTGCCTCTCTAGCTTTACCAGTGTGGTTCTCTTTTTGATGATGGCCTAAAAATAAAGATATGCCCACTCACAAATTCCCAACCACCCACAGAATTTTAAATTGTAACAGCAACATATTGTAAGACTGAAATTTTATGTATGATGCATAAAACTGAATAGATTTATTCATGTCAATGTTAGGATCAACTACAGTATGTTCCTTGTTCAAAACCTTCAAATGCCTTTGAGGCTTTTTGGGGATCTATGAGCTGGCTGAAAAAATGTTTATTGATTAATTCTACATCAAGAAAGGTTGTATTCAACCTCAGATGCGCCCTTAGGGATGCTGGTTGAAGCTGGGAGGTATATTTTCTTTTTCTTCCTCTTTCACTCCTTGGATCTTGAACTGCTTATTGTAGCAAAATTTAATTTCTGAGTCACTGCTGGCCCCATTGGGTGTCAAACTTCCACGCTATTATGAAGGAATCTTTATTTAATCTTGATTCATCATCAGTGTCTTCTTCAATTCACAGGGAGGACACCATAAGCCACTTATGCTGATACTTACTGTGTGTAATGGAAGAAATAATTGTTTAATTTAATCATTTCATATCAGTGAAATCCTTTAGAGACTTCTCCCCTATACACACACACAGCTTTTTTTATTTACTCTGGTGCCATCCTGGTGACTGTGTTGTGCATTATTGTTTTTCTGCTCTTTCAAACTTCCCCCACTCTATTTCCCTCTTTCTCTCTTGTTTTGTGTATTTTTTTTTTTTTTTGAAAGGCCATGTTTGCCTTCTGATGCGGTACCGGGGAGAATGAAACAACACTATTAAGAGGTGATGAAAGAGGCCTGAATATTTCCCACCTAATCTTGTCTTCACAGCTCACAGCTCACAGAAGGCATCCTGCTTGTTTTTGTTTGGCTGGCAGATAATCCAATCAGAGAGGGGCCAGGCTCGCTGTGATACAGTGGGGAGCAGAGCAGAGAAATATGGTGACAGGCTCACGGTTCCCTGTCCTCTTTGCTTTATGTGAAGAGCAGACTGCTTGCTTGCTTGGTCAGCTGGCTGGTTGGTAGCCGTAGTACATAAGTGGGGTGATGTAATGCCTGATAGGTGACTGACAGACTAGTTGACTGAGGAAAAAAGGTGTGTTTTTCCTGCACTGAATAGTTCAGTCTCATTAAAGACATTTTTTTTTTTTAGCTTTTAGCTTTTAGCTGGCTGACTAGTTGACTAGCTGACGGTCAGGGCTGTGGGCAGTCGATTGAATGAAATTATCAGCCATGATGAAACCTACGGTTGCACCTCTTTCTAAGCTCCCAGTCTACATTGTACATGTGGGTTTCAATCATATTTGTGTTGAGCAAGTTTGTGAATATTTGCATGTGAGTGTGCTTCCCACATACAGACTGTCTCCAAGCTCTTAATAGACTTGTGCTGCGCGTTGGATCATCTTTAAAAGGTTTTCTGGTCGCAGTTTAGGCTTGGATATTACTCGCGTAGGAGTTTTTGTTTATCTCTTATAATAGGTATGAGGACTGGATCAAAATCAAGCTTGATTTCAAACTCTCTTTCAATTAGACACCTGTTGTGTGTATTAAAAAACTTGTCAATGTAGATGTTTATTCTGCTTTATCTGGTGGTTTTTGTGTGGATGACATTCTGGTTAATTGTTCCATATTTTAGGGTTAGGACTTTATTTGTAAAAGTAGTACTGTTTTTTTAGTTTTGGATTCCAGGGAAGGGAGTGAAAATAGCCAGTAGAAGATCCTCATTATGATAGAAGTAAGCGTATGTGCGTGGGTGTCTGTTTCCCATCATACCTCAGCACCCATTGCCCATGCAGCGAGCACATGGCGGCAGAAGTTGAGCTTGCCCGGTTTCATCTTGTCATCACAGGAGCCGCTGTACTCTGGAACATCGCGGATATCCGGAGCACATTCAAACACTTCCATGTGATGCACAATGGCCTCGTTACCTGGAGTTACCACTGACTCATACTGACAGTAACAGAGAGAGGGGTGCAAAAAGAAACTGGTGTAAAAGAGAGAATTGTGTAGATTTATGTGTTTCTACTGGCTAAAGGCTGAGGCAGTATTGTTACTTTTTAAGTATATCAATAAAAACATTATTGTACAATACAAATTGATTGTATGCAACATACTTCTATCTTATTCTGTGGTAGGTTTCTGCACTGGATTTGTTCACATTTCATCACATTATATATACCAGATCTATTTCTGAGAGGAAATTGTGAGGTTATATGCTTGGTAATGTGTTTTCTTAAATTAAATTCTTTCTAACCATGACAATGCGGCTCTTGTTATGTTAGGCCCAGCTGGTAAACAAGGAGCAATAATAGCTGCCTGTGCACGATCTCCATCTAAAACACCCACTCCACTGTGTGTAAATAAACTCTATGTTAAGTGTTTCCATTTTTAGAGGCATTTATACCATAACAATGTGGTTCTTGGGCATGTTTTCAGGCAGCTCTTGTATGAAGCACCAGTAGGTGGTCTCCTGATTTGGTATGATGACATTTGGTGCCACGACATCCAGCATCTGCACATCTGGAGGCAGGGTGGGTGAGGGTGTGTCGGGGCGCAGCATCAGCACTCTCTGCACTCCTGTGTGGATCCGAGACAGGTTTAGCTGCTCCAGCGAGGCAAGTGGTTGATCCAAGAATCCATAGATGATGTGCACAGTTCCCTCCTGACCAATGGGAAAAAAATCAGAAAAGAGAACATGCTTTATAGCCACAAAGCAAAACATAAACAGCAGGACTGTGTATTTCAAATTAATAGTCTCTCATGATTATTATTGGGCTGAAATGCCTGCTAAGGCAAACACAGAGAATTTTTCATTATGTTGTCATAGTGATGAGTATTGGTTTTGTGTCTGCAACTTAGAGGTCTGATGTGGTACCATGGAAACCATAATCATTATAAGGAATGCTTCAGCGGACGATCATTCCAACTTTCTGAGTATTTTTTATGTCCACACCTGAAACCATGAACTCTCTGTGATCATCAGCCTTGTTGCTTTTTTTTCATATCCACTAAAGACAGCAATAAAAATATCACAAAAACCCAGACACACACCCTCCCACACACACACATGGGCATAGTGCAAATAACACTTTGCATGTGTGTTCTTTAGGTAACACACGCCTTCCTCCCATGTTCTCTGCTTCTTCTCGCCACCTGTTAACTGTCAAGTTCAGTTAGTTCAGGATTGACAGACGTTATTTTGGCTTTAGGCCATTTGCTTGCCCTTTACATGTGCTCAGCTAAAATAGAGAGGGTAACATAAATGTAGAGGAGAAATTCCTGCTGTGAATCATGATTTCTATAGCACTGATCATTTGTATGAGCCCTCCTTCAGTAGTTAGAATACCCTAACCCTGTCAAATTTCTACAAACTTAAGATTCTTCAAAAAAAGAGGATTTTCTAGATACTAACATAATAAAAATAAAAATAGACTATGAATTAAACCAGACACACATTCTGCTCCCCTGACATAAAATACACACACACTGTGAAAGAAAGACTTTACACACCTCAATGAGGTAGTCTCTGGGATCACAGGTACTGAATGGTCTTTTGAAGAGCAGGTAGAATCCATCAGGTTTCTGTTTGGCTTCTATCAACTCATAGTCTTGTTGGCTGTCCAATGAAACGTGACCCTCACTGTCACTCCACGCATCCTGAAGGAGAAAACACACACATTACCTTTGACATAACTATAGATATTATAAACACCAATCAAAATGTTAAAGAGCACGTTATTATATTTTATTAATAGCATATAGTCATTATTTCAAGTTGGGCAAGATTAGATTGTGGATAACTTTTTCTTTACTGCGGTTTTGATTAACAATTAAAGTAAGACTCGTTATTCAACCATTACTGAATACATTTCACGGGAGATGTGTCCATGCAAACTAGGTTGGAGAGTTCTAGTGAATAATACACAGAATCTGTTTTAAATACATATTCTGTAGAAAAAAAGTTTCCAGTCATTGTTTTTGTTTATTCAGACACAAAAGGAAGCTTTGTGCTCAAATGTAACTTGTCAAATAAATGTCCTCAACTAGAGGAAAAATTGTGTATTTTCTTAACACCGTTTTAATCGATTGTTTAACAGTGGATTATAATACAATGAAAACAAAGAAATCCGTGAAACTGTGCAGTTTGTGTTGTGAAACCTTCCCAACCTGGTATAGAAGACTCCACTTCTCTGCCAGGAGGCTTTGCAACAGCTCAGTCTATCCGCTTCTGTTATGTTTCTCACATTCATATTTGTCCAGAATAGCACCTAAGATCTCTCTCTTTATTTCTGTCTCCCTCTCTGTCCGTCTTATATAACTGTTCTACAAAAAAAACCTGCAAATATTCTGAAGCCAACGATTTTGAAAATACTTACAGAATATATAAATCTAAAAAATGTAATGTGGGCAGTATACAGTATGTGTCATATATGTTAGATGTCTGTGTACAGACTACACTAACTACAACTTCTGCAGATGGCTGACAGACAGAGTCATGTCCTGACTATTAATGTTTATGTATAAAGTTTTTGTTCTAGTTGTGTTTAGGTTAAAGTTAATGAGGTTAATATGGTTAATCAGTTAGCTTTGCTTTTGGTGTAGTTATAAATCTTTGAGTCTGTTTTCTCACTTGCCTCTCTGGTCTTCCATAGCTATGATATATTGGAAATTCTTAATTCAAGTCTCCATGGTCTGCTTTAAATATATTGATTTAAAAAGGGATTTTAGGAGGTCCATGAACTAGAGCCTATCTAAAATGTGCCTGGCTTTGTGAGGAGCTGCGTTTGTGCATTTGTATGTGTGTGTATATATATATATATGTGTGTGTGTGTGTGTGTGTGTGTGTGTGTGTGTGTGTGTGTGTGTGTGTGTGGAGAGAGAGAGAGAGAGAGAGAGAGAGAGAGAGAGAGAGAGAGAGAGAGAGAGACAGAGAGAGAGAGAGGGATCAGCAGTGACCTTTCTTCTGCTGGTAGTTTTACCCTCCTGAGGGAAGAGAGACAGATGGGACAAGGGGAGGAAGGCAGTCGGATACCGGAGAGGAGATCAAGTTAACAAGAAAGTACAATGATGTGTGTGTTACATTATGATTGTTTGATTTGAAACTGCAGGGGTGTGGTACACTGGGATTTGGGTAACTTTTTATTATTATTTGGGGCTTTTTTGGGGGGCTTTATTTGATAGTGAAGCTGAAGACAGACAGGAAAGGGAGAAAAAGAGAGGGGATGACACGGGCAACGTGGGACTTTTTGCGCGTAAAAATGATTTAACTACATTTATTTAATTACGTTACATGTAATTACAAAAAAATGCATTATAAAGCTCCAAAATGTACCAAAACTATAACTTCATGTTTGTTCCTGCTTGCTCCCTCCCGTCTCAGATCAAATCACAGTAGAGTTTTCATTTTTGTGCTCTTCTGAATAAATCAATTAAACTTTATGAATGGAGAAAATTCTCCATTTTAAAATATGCCTGTTATTATTTCATGCATACCAATCAGCATTAAAAGAAATAGTAATATCATTTTTACTGTGCATGACTCCATTACCCATTACCACAGTGACAGACGGATAAGAAGCAGAGATGTCATTTAAAAAAAATAATTAAAAGGAAAGATGAATTTTAGAATTGAATGCAATGGTTTTAACATACAAAAAATGGTAATAGTTAGTCAAAATTAAGTGTGACTTTTTAGCAACAGAGATCTGCCCCAGAAGGCTCCAACAGTGTGATGACTTAATACCCGTAATAACCTTTAGTAGCTATTTAACAATTAAATAAATTAACATGCTTCCTATTTTTTTGTTCGTTTACAACTTTTTTCCTCAGTTCATATCGCAGTCAACGTAAAATGAGATTTATTTTTTAGATTAACATCCTTTACTTATGTTTACTGTGATCAAAGAAGTACTTGAGAGAATATTAATTTTATGTATTGAATATTTTAATTTCTCTATTTCTAGGCATTGATGAAAGGAACTACTTAACACCGAGCACAATGCCTGTAGCTGAGTGACACGGAGGAGTGATCAAAGGGAGTGACGTGATATTCAATATTTTGGCAGTCATTAAAGAAGAACAAGAAGCTGTCCATGTGCTTTACTTAACTTATGACCTCATATTAACCCCAGCTTTCTCTTGGCACTGAAACAAGAATGTCACTGTGGTCAGCATAAGAGGCAGGTTCATTTCTTAGTACAGATGTAAAAACAGGTTTCTCAAGGTCCCAGCAAATGTTATTATTTTACCAACCAATCAGATGTTGGTTGATACAGTCTTACTTCCTCTGATACAACACAAATAAAGTAGATAGAAAAGGTTTTCCCAGGAAGAAGAATCAGAATAGATACTTGATCATGTTTAACTGCAATTAGTGTTCAGCATTGCTTACTGTCTCTTGTTAAAATTTCCACATAAACCCTATGGACAAAATTGTTTTTCAAAAAAATGCATCAGGAAATTTCAGATACAAATATCTGAGTTGAATTTGTTGGCTTGTGTGTGTCAAAATGAAAATGAGGCATTTCACACATCTAAATCAGCACAGGATTCAATTTTGATATGCTAATATCGGCTAATGATTCCCCGATGAACTTCAGCTATTAGTGCAGTTTGAGCGATTTCCAATTAGCAGGGGCCGATAACATCCTTTGTGACTATGTGATCATGAAGCAAGCCGTCCGCCAGCTCCCCATGCAAAAAACACCAATCTCACGCCCCAGGGACCACAGACAGATGAGGAACACTAAGAAAGAGGGAAACCTCCACTCCTTAAGGACATTGTAATCCCTGAGCATTTATGAATCTGACAAGTGAACATTTGAGGAAAATTGGAAGAGAGAATGAGAAACCTGCTTTATATCCTCACTTTTTAGAGGCAAGCATTGTGTCAGTCTGGCTTTTTAAAAATGTTATCTCCCCAAATTGTTTTAAATTCAGTCATTTGAAAGAGTAAACACACATTCCAGAGCCACTTACCCCAAAGTAGCTTTTAGTTCCTGAGTTCCACAGCACCACCAGATCAGCATTGGTCAGCTCCCCACGGTCAGACATCCCCAGGACCACGCCATGTTTGAGCTCCTCAACCCTCAGCTCCATGTAAATCTCCTGGTCCGCATAGCTGATGTTCCAGGCCAGCTGCAGCTCCCCGCGTGGGTCAAGGGGCACACGGAAGGGCATGGGGAGAGGTGGGAGGGGGCTGGAGGGGTTTGATTTAAGAATGGACACCTCGACAGCACTGGTGGGCGCCTGATACGAAGCCACCAAGATGACCATTAGAGCAGCCAGGGCAGTGAAGTACATGATGGTGACATCCTGAAGGCGAAGGTTCTTATTGAAGAACCTCATGATAGCCCCTAATGATTGTTCTTACTGATGGATTTCTTTTCACCTTTGTTTTGTCGTTCAGTCTTCTTCCGTCTCTTCAGCCAGAGTTGATTTGGAGTTCAATCAAGAAAGTTGTGAGGAAAGTTTATTCTTCAGCGCTGTTGTAACAAAAACTCACTGGTTTTCTTTTGCCTTGTCAACTCGGCTCTTCTTTCTGGCCACAGAAGACTTAGTATCTCCCACACGGTGGTCAAGTGAGGTTGTTTATTCTTTTCTTCCCCGTGTTTTCTATCCTCTCAGGCCCTCATTTTCTAAAAAGTTTGACTTTCTTTAGACTATTGCTAACTTTCCAGTCTTTAGGTTTCTCTGTTTCCAAGCCCTTGTGGGTATTGTCTCCTTCCTCTGTGCAACTGCTCTGTCTCATCCCCCTTCCTGGTTTTTAAGAGACTCCTCCCTTGTGAGTTGTCTGTTTTTATCCAGCCTAATGGCATTACATTTGTTGAGGAAAATTGGATTGTATCCTTTAAGCCCTGGGGTCAACCATGATTCTGCACATCTGCCAGCCCCTAATTGATCCAAATTCAACCATGGACATTTTCAACGACAATCTGCTTAGACTAACTAAACTTTATTGCTCGCTCCATCTCTGTCTTTTTTCTTTTGCTTTGGTGAGCATGTATCATTATCATAAAATTTTCCGTCATTTCCTGACAAAAACTATTCCACACACTATACCTCTCACCTGGCTTGTTGGGTATTTGACTCAAAGCAGATTTAGGGAGAAGCAAGCACTTGTGGAAGCGTAAACAAGGCATTAATGCATTAGGTCCCTTCCTTAAGCCACCGCCTTAGGCTGCAGAAGACCTAATCAAACTGTCAATTATGGGTTTTAAAAGCAAGAGGGACACATTGGTTTGAAAGGTTAGTATAACCCCCCCAAGAAAAGTGTGTGTGCTTGTGTCCATATGTCATGTATTGAAGCAGGTATAAGAAACAGGTGAGTTACACTAGACAAATGGATTTTAATGGATTTGAAGATAAATTAAACACTTCCCTTCTGCCTTCTGCACACATTTGACAATCACTAGTGTAAAAAGATTACAATTAGTGAGCTTGACATTACACAAAATCCGGACTTACAGCAAAAAAACATCCAGAAAAATCTAAATTAATGACAGCTGAATTCCATTTAGTTGCTTCAGTTTCAAGGTCTTGGTATTGTTCCTGCTGACTCACTGTCACACTGTCATTATCTACTGGGACACTTGAATAGAACAGAGCCACCATTAATGTTATCAGTAACATTAGGTTGTTGTTGTAAATTTGATGTAGTATTTGAGTTGGTTGTGTTTTGAATCGTTTGTGCTTTTCTTTTGTAGTTTATTACTTTATTTTGTTTTTATTTAAATGTGCATGTTTATATATATATATTTATATATAAATACGCAATGGCCATAGATGTAAAAAGAGCAATGATAGGATAAATTATGATGAAACATTGCAATATAGTATAAAAAATTGTATTAGTAACAACTGTGCTTTTCCTGCTGTGAAAATCCACTGATATTGTCTTTTCCTCGCCTTTATTCAGTTGGTGTCTTTAGTTGGTATGAAAACCTGCAGGCTGTTGTCTTGCCATGGTACAGAGTTTACTGCAAATACATATCTTTTCATGTCCTGTTATATAGGAATGATTTAATCAATTTTAAGTTCATATAAACTCTAAGGAAAGCTCATCATCAAATGTGCTGTAGGGTGAATGCAAATTCTGCGTGTGTTGGATTAAATTTTGTACATGACGTCAAACCATAGAATCCTTTTTCCGGAAGAGGCTCATAAATGAAAAGGTTTGGATGTGAGCAGAAAACAGAGCAGAACAGAAAGGCACAGACTGGTATCGTGTTGGTTAATATAATAAACTCCCATAGTCCCTTAGTCCCTGAGGCACAAACAGACACATGTGTCCTTCTAATGTCTCTGGCCTTCACCTGAGGCTCAATAATCTTCTCTTTCTGTATTTATTTTGTTTCTTTTCATCTTTTACGCCATCTCACTTCTACCTCTTTAAACTCTCTACTACTGCCGATCATCCTCTCCCACTCTCTTCCTGCCTCTCTTACATACAGACTTATCTTTCGGCTGCTGCTCCTGATGTGTCAGCAAACATAAACGAGACACGACGCTGTAAAGTCGGCTGTGATCCGGAGGGAATGACAGAGAAAGAGGGGGATAGAATGGGGGATGGGTGGGGGAGAACAGATTTCGGGAGAGAATGATGGTCCTCTGTGTAATCGTGTCTGTGTGGGTTTATGCAAAAAGCCTGGAGGGTCTATCTGACATTATCCTGCCTAGAACAATCCAGATATTGCCCCCAAAACTTTCCCATCATGCTTTGCAAACAGAAACACACACAGCCCAAATAATTAGGCAATCTATGTGACAAATGATCCATAGCTTATAGTTTTATGTTTTGTGGCAAATGTCACTGTTTTCTGCTATGATTTGCATTGCATTTAGGGTCTGATTGCATTATATTATATATATAATATAAATCAATATTATCTATTAGTGTTGATTTAGCCCTTTGTGGCCCATGATCTCTTTTTTTTCTTCTCTTTACTGCATTTATTTCCAGGTTTGGCAAAAACTTTATATTGTCCTTTTATTTACACAGAAGAGAGTCAAAATAACATTATAGTAGTACCTCTGAATATAATAATCACACAAAACACCAGAAACTACTGACTCAATGAGCTGACTCAGCAACTTTCTGATAAAGTTTCAAACAAGTTTCATAAAAGCTTCCCAAAAAAATAGCTGGATTAACCTGTTAGGAGGCTTAAATTGGCTCCAGTTGAAGAAAAAAAAAAGGATTAACTGGAAAATGCAATGTCACAAAGCTAAAAATACAAGGCTGTTTTTCTGAGCTCATGAAAAGTTGACTTTTTTAGAGATATATGGTTCTCAAAGGACAGAAACACTACAAACATATAATGCTCTTATAGAATATGATGCATTTCTGTAGATTAAACCAGGGTTGGATCAGGGGCCACAATACTCACCCTACTTTAAACACAGGGCCAAATCTGGGGGTTTAAGGGTCCAACACCAGAACAATTTGAGTATTAAACACTTAATTTCCTGCATTATGGTAACTTTTCATGCATGTAAATAACCGCAAAGCCTTCCTACCCATCTTAAACTTAGCTAGATAACATACACTGAAGCTCACTAATATTTCATGCATCAAGATTACTATCAGTAAATTCAAGGTGTGTAACTTTAAAAAGACAAGATCTAATCCACATGCCATCATATTTCTTGGCCTGACCCCAGCCTGTACGGACACACATGCAAGCTAGATGGATATCATTACCTTCCAACAATGCTTTGCAAGGTAGCTAACATTAGTTAGACAGTCAGAAGTTCAGCAACAGCAGGTAAATACTCACATAAACATTAGCCAAGTGTTTAATCGTAACTTACCATGAAGCTTGTGTGGTGTCATTTGTCCCATTAATGTCAAGAGGCTCTCCATTTGTGTGTGCAGTCAAAGATCATACAGGTGGTTAGATCCCTTCCAGGTTGATACTTTAAGTACATTTTGCTGACAACAAGCTTTTGAATGAAGTATTTTACTTGTAGTGGAGTATTTTCACAGTGTGTAGCCTATCTGAATCCTTCGTCACCACTGTCACAGATGAAGATACCAACCAGTATCCCTATACAGAGATAACAGAACCTGACCCCATATAGTTTGTAACAGTTTGATTAAACACAACTTTTATTGTGAAAGAGCTTCAAACTGGATTTTTACATGGGACCCACAGTGTTAGGTGATAATACATGATCTGTCTTAGTTAGATAGATATTGTGCTTAAAGCAAGTCTATGTAACATTTGCTGAACAGCAGCCATTGAGGACACAAGTGGCAATTACAGGATAATGATCGGTGTAGTGTAACAGAACCAGGTAATGTTAGTTACTCAGTAATATCTATCTTAAGTTTACTAACATTAGCTAGTGTTAGTCACTCTGAGCTATAGACCAAGTAAGACTGTGACAATACAACTCTAGACTGTATTGAATGAGCATGGATGTGTTTCATTGTGTATGAGTTCAACTTTTCAATTACACAATGAAGATTGTGTAATTTCTTCTTTATAAAGTTACATAAATTATCTTTAAAAGGCACTTAGGAGGATCTGTTGGTATGAATTGAATATTATATTCATAGGCATGTTTTCACTGGTGTATCAGCTGAAAAAAAGAATCGTTTCATTTTTCGTTACTTTGTAACAAGCTGTTTTTATTTACAGAATATGCCATGTTGAATTGCCATGTTTCTACATTCTGGCTCTAGATAGGACCTTTCACATATTTTGTGGCCAGTGTAGTTTCTCTTACACACTTGTAAGTCCGCTGCCTTGAAAGTTGGTTGCAATCTGCATCTTCACAGCTAGATGCCACCAAAATTGGTCTTTTAAGTGTTGAAAGTGTGAAAATCACAAATATCAACATGTGGTGAAGGTGGTATATACGGTTAGCTCAATTTGCCTGTTTGGTGATCCAGATTTGACAAAAAGACCATACTCAGTTGCAGTGGTTGATGTTATTGTGTACATCCAAAGAAAGCTTTTGCTATTAACTTATTTTGAGCAAAAAAATAATAAAAGCTGTAAGTATGAGTTGAGCTGCCTTTCCGACACACCTCACCCTGCATGCATGTGAACACAAACACACACAGAAAGAGAGAGAGAAAGAAAAACAGAATTCACCTCGACATGACCGATCCAACTATCTCATTCTCTCCAAATATAAATATTTCAACGTTACACACTCTCATAGTGCACTAATCTCCACTTCTGTGAGTGTGAATAATGAATGTAATAAAAAACACACTGCTACTCTTAGCGTTGCCTCAAACTGCCCCTCGTCTGATCTGAATTGGAGAGGCCAGCCGTTGTAGGGGTGGATTGGACCATTAGAAGAGACGATGAGTGTGGAGTTTGGAGAGGAGAAAAGAGAGAGCGGGCGAGAGAGAGGTGGAGAAAGGGGGGAAAAAGTGGTGAAACAGTTTAGAATAAGAAGCTGACAGCTTGTAATACTGTAACACAAAGAGAGGCACAGTGATCACATGAGAGAGAGTAACAAGTAGGAAACGGTCACATCCGTGGATCTTAACATGTCCTGTCGTCAAAGGTGGAGTGATCCAGAGTAAAAGGACAAGAGAAAGAGGGAGGTACACAGAGAGAAAAATGATCCTCCCAGGGACAGTTGTGTATGTCGTCCTAATGGAATTTAATGAACGTTTTGTTCCAGACAGAGGGCCGGTTTGTTTTTCCACCTTGGCTGAACCTTGGGCAGAGGACAGGTGTAACTTCTTAATTATCTTTATAGAGTTGGCTGTCACATATGCATATAGCTTGGGTGATTAACTGCTGTGACTGTAAGTGGGAAGCCTAATGAATCTCCTTTAAATGCTGCTGCAGCTTCTGGTTTCCAGTGTGGTAGGAGGACACAGTGAAGGTTGACTTTCTGGTCTGAGGCTACACTTGGCTGCCTGATAGTTGCAGAGAGTTTTCCTAAAGGACGCACACTCCCTCTCACTACCTCTTTGTCCCACTGCTTGTGCACATTTTCTGTTCATTCTCTGAGACTTATTTCACATACAAGTCTGCACAGCCTAGAGCTGTTCAGTTTGTTTTGATGTAATGAAAATGTATAGCCACATCCCCCCCTAATAAAAACTCACAGACTTCTGCATGGAAGTCAAAGAGGGGCCCCTCATCCAGCATCTTGTCCCTCTTTTTTCTTTTTTTGTTGAATTCCCTCCTCTTGTCTCTTTTCTCTCTAGCACCCATAGCCAATCTGAGCCTGCGACTAAAGCGCCATCTCTCAGGCTGCACACTCCAGGCTGCATGCACTCACTGAGTCTGCAGGCGCCTCTGAATTTAAAGCGCATTTTCACTCGTCTCCGCACAGTGCCGGACGTCGCTCTACAGGAATCAGCAAATACACGGAAATCCAACAACCGTGCATCAAATATCCAGGCTACAGCAGACCTGTATTCTTTCGGACTAGCCAGCTACAGACACTTCTCAGCCCTAGAACGACCGAACGGCTTGCTTTTTTTTCGTCAAGCATGGGATGCAAAGAGAGAAACATACTGGTCGGAGGGAGGAGATAAATAGATAGAAAGAGAGAATAGAAAAAGGGAAGCGTGCACAGGAAAAAAAAAAAAAAGCCCCACATCGATTGTGCAGCGGAACCCGGAGCAGCGCTACAACAAATATCTGACCTCGACCCCCTCGGACGGTGGGGGAAAACTGGTTGTTGAAATGGAGATGTCGAGATTTTCCATCATCCCGTCTCCTCCTCCAACACGCACGCTGCTGAGGCTGCTGATGATGATGTTTGCGTAGGAGTGTTTTATTTTGCGGACAGCCGCTGTTAAACCAGCCTCTACTGTTCAAACAACTCCAGACAAGCGGTGGATGGACCTGTGCGTGTGTGTGTGTGGCTGCCTGCTCCAAACACATATTTATAGATATTATTAGTTTTATTAGGCAGTTATTAGAGTCCGGCACCTTTTCTTCGCCTTTGGAGTGTTTTTCTGATGTCTTTTTGCGAGTTTGGAATTGGACAGAAAATGTTTGGCGTGCGACTGGCAAGAATGTGTCGGGAAAAGTAGTCAAGAAGCAAAGAATAATGATATAATATATTTTGCAAAGGACGCACCTGCTATTTTGTTCAGATTAACAACTAAAGAGGATCCGGCCCAGCGGGTCAGCTCCTGTTGTGCTCTTTACTTTGCTGGCATTGGGGGGCTTTATTTGTTACTGGTTTCATTATTCAGTGACTGAGGTCGACACAAACTACAACTAGCAGAGGTTGGGACCTGAGCTCCAAGGAGCTTCCACTACCCTTGTTGTGACCCGGTGAATTCCTCTTATCTCTGAAGGTAAGATTCTACACCCTTGTGGAGAAATGGTTAATCTTCTGCTCCATTCTCTCATCCTTGTGTTTTATTTCTATATTGGTTTTAATTGTGGCAAAGGGGATACATCTGCTTGTTGAGTCATGCATGCAACTGAGAAGTTGCGTTGTGAGAAGAACCAATCCAGCTGGACTGCTTTTCTTTTTTCACCTAGAAGATTTATAATTCATTATATTTCACATATACACCCACCATTCAGTACAATGTGCATATATAGCAGAGTGTGTTTCTAGAAGATTGAATGAAATCACAGCCAACATACAGTCCTTAGAATAACAGATTTAGACAAACAGAAAGACGAGAAAGAGTGGGTAAAAGCGAGGGAGAGGTTCTGAAAGGTGCTTTGTATGACAGACTTGCTGGCTGGCCGGCTTGCCACATGCTGACAAAACAGCATGGCTTGTGAGCCACAGCTACTGTCACCAACTGTTAGCCATGGTCACATCCAAACTGTTCACTTCAGATATTTTTAGGCTGGGTGGAAATGCATCTCAAGCAGCATTAGGGCCGTGCAACACGAAAAACATTCCACTGAATGCGGTTGAAATGACAACATGTTTTAGCCAAGGGAACACACAGGATGCAACCCACCACCCACTGGGTGTTTTGGAAACACTGTGGTGGATGAAGTAATAACTAACCAGCTAAAATGTGAACCCACAAGTGTGGCCGGTAAGATTCAATTGCTGCTTCTACAGTATTTAGGTAATATTTGCTGTCACCACAAACAGCACAGGGGAGCAGTAAATTGGGCCCAGAAGAAGGAATTTGCACAAAACACATTATTAAAATATAGATAAATACTGTAGTTTATTTCTAAGAGTGATAGGGGATAGTTAGGGCTTTATACACCTTTCCCTGTAGTTAAAGTGTTTTGGTGTTACAGTTGAGGGATGGTCCTCATTATTATTATTTTTTTGGGGGGGGGGCTTTTTCCCTTTTTTACATAAAGGGCAGCTGAAGATACACAGGAAAAGGCACGACACACAGCAAAGAGCCACAGGTCAGATTCAAACCCTGAGCAAGAACTCAGCTTTTGTACATGGGGCCCCAGTTCTACCAGGTGAGCTATCCGGGCGCCCCAGGAGGGACCTCTTTTTGTAAAATATATTATAAAATATATTATACTGTCCAGATTGGGAAAAAAACTTATTTGACTGTATAATCACAATGTAATACAACATCCCTACTTCTACAATCAAAACTCGATTATACTGCTTCAGTCTAAGTTTTAGCCCTAGTTCATGCTCCACTGTGTGCTTACACTACCAAATGAGGGATCATCACTCTTTATTGTGCTCGTGTACCAGCAGACGTAAGTAGTATTGTAAGTAAGTATTGATCTTACCCGTGCTAATCTCCCTAATCCCCTCATCTCTTCCTCTTGAACTAAAAAGTTTGAAATCAAATCTTACCACCGACAGATAAAAAAAGATTGGAAAAAAACAAGGTATGCAGATGCTTCCATACAGAGTCACTGAAGGTATGAAAATGATTGTGACCCACATGCTATGGCCTTCGCAGTCACCATATCAATAACACTCTCCAGCACTGTCAACAAAACACCAAATAAGGGAATATCTGTTGGAAGAACATGCTTCCATTTCAGCACCAGCACTTTACAAAGATGCTTAATGTAGGGTTTTCGTTTAATTTCCCAGGGGGTGGGGTGGGGTGGGGGGAAGAGAGTACACTTACTAAGATATTGATACCTGGGAGTCCTCTGGTGTATGGGTGTTCATTGATCTACAGTGAATTCAGTGATGATGTCAGTACAGATCTGACATACAGATTTTTAAGTCATGCTAGTACCGCCATCACAGTGAATGGCTCTTAACAACACACCATGACAGTATGACCTAAACTAGTAGCCAATAGGGAATGACAACTGGGACTAGATTCATGTTGTGAACTGAAAAGAAAATAAATACACACAGACACTGTGCTCTTAGAGGGCCTACAATAATGAAAAAGACAAGGCGGGGCTTGTGTTCCCATGGCGACTTCCTCAGTGACCCTCGGAACAACCTTGGCCCCCTGGGAGATCAGTCATACTCCTGCGTGCACAGACATACACACTCACGTTCCCCTCGGAGCGTGCCTATGAGTGACTGTGTGTTTCTCGTCTGCTTACTGCTGCTGCTGCTGCTGCTGCTGCTCTCAGTCTGTACAGCAGGGGAGAGACGAGGAGGAAAGCGAAGGAGAGGGAGTTGAAGGACAAGCAGATGAGTGGGATGGAAAAGCAAATTTCAAAGACAGATGGGTGGGTGATGAAGATGAAGAAAGGTGTGGAGAGGAGAACGCATATCAAATAGGGAGAGAGGGAAGGAGAAGAGGAGGCGGAGGTAGGGTTCAAACACTGGCAGAATTGTCAAGAGTGAATGCAATTACAGAGGCATCATATCCACTTTTTTTTCCTGGGCATTTAAAGTGTACTCACATATCAGCGTAATTACTTTTAAAATCACTATTGGGAGGAGGGATCATGATAGATCTGCTGTGGTTGAGATAAAGAGGAGAGGTGGATGGATTGAGACTGGGGGAAGGGAATATGGCTGCTCAATGATCATGTTAAACAGTAACCACCCGTTCCTCCCTTCCTCCACCCGTCTCTCCTCCCCTCCCCCTCAGCACCACGCTCTGCTCTCCCCTCGCAGCTACACCCTGACATGCTCACACATCACGCTCATGCACAGATGGGTTCCCCCACAGACAGCAATATCACGTCCAGACACACACACACACACACACACATGCACAAGCCGTTGGTCAGCTGCCCTCATCCCAATGAGTGATTGTAAAAAAGCTCATTCCAAAGAGTAGAGGGGTGGTGAGGGAGGCGGGGAAGGAGAACAGGAAGAGAGTGAGGAGAAACAGCAGCAGAAGTCCTTTCCTTCCTTCATTACCATGTGTGTCCGGGAATTTTCATGCACATATGATGATTAAAGTAAAGTTATGTGAGTTTTTTCCAAGATGGATGTCGTTTCCATAGTTTTGGCCATCATTCCTGCCATTACATTTTACTACTCTGGACAGAGGATGGCATCACTAGAAACACTTAAGAATTAGGCCAAGCAAAAGAACATAAGGTTGGCAGGTTGTAAACAAACTCCAGTTTATCCCAGTTAGTGTCGAATACAGTCAGTCATGGCACTGAAAAACTCTCTCAATGGACAGTAATTTAAATATTTGCCTCTGTTTGAATTTTTAAATGAGTATTACAATATGGTGAAACTGGGGATGCCCTTATAACCTGTCAGACTGTCTGACCACTCGTCTTACTTTCCCTACTGGAGCTTGCTGTTGCTGTGTTCTCAAAACTTGGTAAAATTAGTCAAATGTTAATATAACTTGTAGGAATGGTGGCTGAAGCTGCAGAAATAGGACATATGTCATGCAAACGTCAAATTTCCCTTTAAGCCTTGCACAACTGGCCCGTCTGTCTATATCTGCAGGCTATATAGACAGACATGCTGCATATATTACACGCTAAATATAAAGGCAGACGGCATACTGCTCAGAGTAAATTCACCATCTGCATGAAGTCTGTAAGTATAATCTACAATATATAGTACATTTTAAAGAAGCCTCAGGGCCTTTTTGTCCTTACAAAGCCATTTTTTATTTCACAAAACCTACATGCTCATTATGGGAACAGTCGAGTTTAGCTGTATAATGTTAAATCTGAGACTAAAAAGTTGCAAACGTCAACGTGGTCCTTTTAGAAAGTGATGAAGCAAAAAGAATTCAAGAACAAGCAAGCTCAGCAAGGTCATGACTTACTCCCTGATCACAACAACACTGCACATGAGAAGAGAGATTCTCATTCATAAATTCCTCTCTTTCCGATGTGTTGTATCTTGTTATGCGTCTCTGCAATACTGCCTGACTGAACTGTGCTTTATTTTTTATCAGCTTAGAGATTAGCATACAGTATGTGAGCAGGGAAAAGTTGGTTCAAGCACAATAAGGCTAGAACTTTTAAGCGTAAACCACCCACTCAAAAAAACAGAAAAGGCGATGGTAAAATGTCAGTCTGTAATAGCCCCGTTGCCATAGTAACTGAAGACCTGTTCGTACTTTTACACACTGCCTCTTGAGCACTGACCATTAGCACTAACAACCAAGCGATCATCAGCCTTGAGCTTTTAACAAATCCTTCAACCATCTATACGTTTCATTGAGGACATGTACATCCAGCCTCTCCAAGGTGCCCTTTGCTGCCTTTTCTTCTTCATCTGTACCCAACATCTTTCTACATCTTCCTCTCCTCCCATTTTTTATGCATCTTCTGTTGCCTTCTACTCTTTCATCCTGTCTCTTCCATCTTGGCCTTCTCTACCTGTTTCTTGCTTTCTAAGGTTTAATCAGACATGTCCGCTGTTGCTCCTGCATGGACCTCTAGACCTGTAAAGGCACACGCGAAAACGCCGTAGACACATGCAAAGACTAACCTAGCACGATATATCATGCATTTGATGTTTAGGCATACACACACGATATCTCCTTACAGTACTTATTTCCTAATGGATAGCAGTAAGGAGCTTGATGCTGTACATTACAGATAAGAAGACCAAGGAAAATTCAGAAGTTAAGGCTGTACGTAACTCCGTCTGATTTTCCTAGATAAGTCCCTTTCTTGTATGATGTAGATTTTTATTTGTAAATTGTACAGCTAAACTCAAGTAGCTAAAAACATAAGAACAAAAATAAAAGAGAGTTTCCTACGTCGTCCCCCCTCCTTTCTCTCCTATTTTCAATCTGTCCTATCAAATAAAGGCATAAAAAGCCCCCAAAATATATAAGTTCAATGTGCAGGATTTCACATCAGAAGCACGTCTCTGTATAACCGATTTTCACACTGCATTACCCAGTCGCTTTGTGGAAAACGGAAAAACGCTGGCTATGATATGCAACAAGTCCGAAATAAACTACCAAAAATCTGCATTTTTGCCTCGACACCC